TTTGTTTCTGTTTCACGTCTTACAACATCAATCACAAATTTCCTTGACTGTTTTGGTCATATTTATTTATTAATGTCGAAATCTCATTTTTTGGTAGATATTGAACTTTCTATTTGAACCATTGCATACACTTTGGTTTTATTTTTTACGCTTTGACAATTATTAACTTTTTAGAATTATATTTTATGAAATGAAAATAAAATAAATGCAAAAATAATCTTCAGTGGTATCAAATTATATATTAACTTATTGAAAATTCAACACTTTTTAAAAAGATCACTAGTATATAATTTACGTAGATAATATCTCTTTTGTATACACAATTCTTGCTGTTTTTTAAAAAAATTGAAGATGTTTTCTTTTTTGTTTCAGTTTAATAATTTTTTGACCAATGGGCCGCTCGGACACAGCTACTCGTACGCAATAGTCGAGTCGTTCAGGTTTGATGATGTGTGACTGTATGTATACCTATATCTGCATGCTATCTCATAACTATTTGGATATCTTTCTTATATATTCGCCTTTCACCTTTTTCATACTTGCATCTTTCTTGGAAACCGTAAACCTAGGAATAAAAAAATGTAAAACTATCTCAAATTTGTATTTATAATGATAGCAACGCTAAAATATTTCTGAACGCCTTAATAAGATTTTCCTTTGACAACGACAAAATAAGAGACGCTTACATTTTGTAAAGCAATTTAATGATTACGCGAGATTTTGCGTGAAAACAGATGCCTTAGCGCATATTTTAAGCTTAAGTATTCTCTGTTGTTGCTGTGACTGTATCATTAGGGATTACTTGTATATCATTGTTTAAAAGATGCAGCTCTATTTATCAGAGAGAAATACTTTAGAAGATTGGAAGTCACTTTCATCTGAAACGTCCAATCTTCACAAATTCAAGTTTTTTTCCCGAAGTTTTTCGACGAAACCCACACGTGGTTATGGTAAGGATTCTTTGACTAAAACAAAGTCAAAACTGATATTGATAGTCGTATTTTACTTTTTATTTGGTTGGCAAAATTAATTTTAGTTGTTTTATTTACACCCGGTTTTAGTTGTCAATATGGATTTTAGTAATCCTAATTACACCCAATTTTGGTTGGTGATGTTGATTTTAGTGGTCCTATTTCCAGTTTTAATCATAGGTAATAAAAACTTTCTGATATTTTGGATTTCCCTACTTTTGCTTTGCAGTACCTGATATACACTTTCTAAAAAAGAAATGCAACATGTAAAAAAATAACTTCAAATTTTCAACCATATTTTGAAAACAAAAATAAGCTTCACTTAGTCTTTACACTGAAACTTGCTACACTGGTCGTTCAAACTTTAAAGTTCTTTAATACAATGTCAAATGTGTCACATTTAAGTCCATAGCAATCAGATGACGTCACTTTACAGTCAATATCTGTTGTGCCTATCATTTGCCTGTAACACAGCATTGACCCGTCTCAGCATAGACTCGATCAATCGACGAATACGGTCTTGCGGAATTTTCCCGATTCTTGCTCAAGAACGTGCTGTAGTTCTTACAGTTTCCTGAAAGACGACAGCGCACGCGTTTATCCAAATCATCCCACAAATGTTCTCGAACCTCTCATTCCGGCGTCTGTAGACACTTGTACGGTCATTTCTTTTTTACATCATGAATCTTGATTCATCGCAAGAATCGCCTCAAGTTTTGCACGTCCCAGCCTCTATTCTGTTGCATCATCGGGCCCTTGCTAGTCGATGCCGGCGTCTTAGAAATGTGTCAATGTAAGGACGTCTAGCGCGTTGGCCGTTTTCACGGAGACGGTTTCTGACTGTCTGATCCGATATTTGTCGGAGACCTAGGACATTTGGTGCTGTTTTTGTTGCTGTCATTGTTTTGTTTCTCCAGTAAAGTAGACGCTAAACCGATCTTGGGATGCTCAGGTCGGCAAGAACGTTGAACCGGATTGCTGGTACCGTTGCAAGAGTCTGGAAATCGTGCTTCAGTGAACATTATAAATTCTAGTGGCTGCATTCTGTGTTTGACTGTCATTGAGATGACCAATGACGATATTCCGGGTAGTAGGAGTCTTGACACGTTCTAGCATGATGTTCGATGTTCGAGAAATAATCTAACGAACGAATTCACTTAAACGGTTAGGTGTTTTTTATACAAATGAAACCGCATAAGATAATGTATGACTCGCACGTGCAACTTTCCCAATCATAACCGTACGTATTTCTCGTACAGCGTTACACATACTGACCCGAAAAGGTCACGTTTAATCAACAGCCACTATCAGAAATTTGAATTCGATTATCGCGGGCTGTTTTCATCTCTCAATAACGCAATTTTATAATAAAATTCATATTTTGAATTTAGTAAATTGATTGTTGCGTTTCTTTTTTTGGAAGAGTATATTTATAAAGAATGAATTTTACGCATGATATTTTGCATAAGTTTTGAACTCGCTATGGTGTAAATATATTTCATATTGTTCAATAAGTGTTGAAATTAGGTTTACTACATGGGGGAGGAGAATTGTTGTTAAAATTTATATTTCGTTTTCGATAATTTGAAATCTTGAAGATTATATTTTTTTATTCATAGGCATGGTGAAGATAAACTCGGACAGAACTCTCGGCAACGTTCTTTTAAATTTAACTAAATTCATGTCCGATTAACAATTAAGAACATTTTATTAAGAGACGACTTATCAGAAGAAAAAATATCATATACTTATGATAAAAAAAAATAGTAGTTGGTTGTTTTAGATTGAAAAAAATATATATATATTTGTATGTATATTGCACATGAACAAAGGTAATGACTTTTCACATGGAATTTATACATTATATTTTTTTTATTTTTTTTATAAAACAGTGAATTTAAACTATTAAACGAATCTTGATAAATTCTGCTTTGTATTATCTTTAATCTATATTCTTAACTTTTAATTGTCTGTATTTGTAGTGAGTGAAAACGTTTGTATTTTAAAGCCACACATGTACTAGTAATCTGCGTAATTTCTTAACTCATTCTATCTCAGATCCTGTTTACGTTGTCTTCTTTCAATAAACTATTATTATTATGATATTGTTATGTGACTTCAAAGGGTTTAAATAAAAAAAATGAATATAGCTAAATAAATATTTAATGTTGCAAAAAAAATGATTTAATTCCCGGTTTACTTTACAGGAAATTGAATTTAAGACGTCACACTATGTTTTACAATCAAAATCTCCTTTGTAGTTTAATGTAAAGGGTTTCGGTTTTTGCATAAACAAATTGTTCTCAAATTACTGATATGCCCATGTTGCATATTAGTTCGTAGTTGAAAGCATAATCTTCCCACTTGATGCAAACAGACAAGGACAGTAAACAAGATGGCTTTCATCTAATTATTTTTTATATTCATTTAGGTTTTTTCTCTTATAACTTGAGATCGATAATCAAAACAGAGATTTATTACATAAATAAAAATACATGGCACGCAATTACAAAGAAATAAACGTTTCTTCAATTTGATTTATTATTTCTTTTTAAGGAATGACGCATGATAAATTATAAAAAAAGATTACGCCTGATCTATTCGTTTCATAATTGTTTCAGCAATTTTGTAATTTTCATAATGTGTAAATAAAAGAAAGAATCGATAACTTGACAAACATGTAATAATTACGTATTTCCTTTTGCCAGGCAAGGGAGTATAGAAGTGTTATTTGTGCTTCAACTGAAATCCAATGATTCGTCAACGACACAGTCAGCAGATACTATTACTGAATTGCTGAGACAAGCTATCCATAATTCATCACATTCACTTAATTTCACCATCGACACTGATCAAGTGATAATTTTTGGTATGTTATAAATAATGGCAAATCTCACAAGTAACCATTTTTCCCCAAATGAAATAATAAAAGCTGTCGTTGATAAATGTCAGTTACACCCTTCATAGAAAATCTAAAAATTTACATATTTGGATTTTGCATTAAAAGTGTTATTCAGTAAAAGAAAACATAACCAATTGTAATGATTAGCCTTCATATCGTTTTTATACATTGTATAGCAATTGTCAAACCATTTATGTTGCTAATTGAAAGATATATTACGATGGTGGTTAATTGAAAGGCGCACACCGAATTTAACATGAAATGTGTTTTATGTCTACGAGAGTGTAGATATAAGAAGATGTGGTATGAGTGCCAATGAGACAACTCTCCATCCAAGTCAAAATTTTTAAAAGTAAACCACTATAGGTCACAGTACTGTCTTCAACACGGAGCCTTGGCTCACACCAAACAGTAAGCTATAAAGGGCCCCAAAAAATTACTAGTGTAAAACCATTCAAACGGGAAAACCAACGGTCTAATCTATATAAAAAACAAGAAACGAGAAACACTCATGAACCACATCAACAAACGACAACTACTGAACATCAGATTCCTGACTTAGGACAGGTGCAAACAAATGCAGCGGGTTTAAACGTTTTAATGGTACCAAACCTTCACCCTTTTTCTGAAACAATAGTGTAACATCACAACATAGAAAGACACACTATAACATATTAACTGAAATAGCTTAACTCAATCAAAGGACATATTAACACCATTGAACATACACTGAACAAATAAATTTGACCTATGACACAATGTAAATACAAAATAAATAAACTAAGGGAAGAATAATAAAAGTAACATGTTATATCGGTAAGAAATGTTAAACAATTAAAGAAAAACAATACACCTATTGTTTTATGAACACCTCTTTCTAACGACCATTTAAAAGTGCTCCCAATGATACCAAGGAAAAAAGAATAACATGATAATACTGAATTAAGTACACAATTACAAATACTGAAGTGTTCGTTGTGAAGCGAATTTATACTTGATATTTAATTTTGTTCAAGTAAGACTTTATACTGTAAGTTTTCATTTTTGAAATAATATATAGATGTTTTTTGTTACCATAGTACTATTTTCTTTCAGATACAGTTGGAATCACAGCCAGTACAACAGAAATGCAGCCAGTTGAACCATTAGAAAACATCACATCTAGTACGGAACCAGCGTCAGGTACCCATTCTGTAAATTCTGAAACATTAAAATATTCTACAAATAGTGTGAAACAAGAAGAGCCTACAACAACAAACCCATACGTTGATACTGGACAAACGGTTAGTAAGGCAACCTCATCATCAGAATACACTACAAGTAGAACCATTGCCAACGAGTCCACGCCATTGTCATCCAATGAATATCAGGAAATTACTACTGGTGATATAGACCTCAAGACAAGTACTGTTCCTGTTCAATCAACAGGTACAGTTCAACAACCAACAACTGAAAAAGCCTCCCATTCCACGATTAAAGACCTTACAGCATCTGAAAAAAGTATTTTGGACCAGAGTGTACAAGGTACGAAAAGTAATACTGAAAGACAAACAACAAATTTGTTATCAATAATGTTATCTGAATCTACAACATTAACGGAATCTTCATCAACGGCGGATGATGACACTGTAACTAACTTACCAAGGAGGTCAGAATCTTATATTTCTAGCCAATCAACGCAAGGCTCAACTACCAGACAAACAACGCCGTCTAGTTCCATGACAGACCAGACAACTCCTTCCGATCTAACCACAAAAAGGGAAACTACTTCTGATTCTATCATAACAGAGCTGACAACATTTTATGATTCTACAACCTCAGAGCTAATAACACCAAATAGACCAGACTCTTTACCTCAGTCAACAAAGGACGATTCTTTTACCACAGGGCAAACAACAATTTCTTATCTTGTCATTCCAGAGCAAACGACAACGTATGATTCTATCACTACAGAACAGACATCAGGATTCAAATCTGTCAGCTCAGAACTCACACCACCGACTTATTCCACCAATACAGAGATGACAACGCTGTCTGATTCTATGTCCTCAGCGAAGACAACACTGTCCGATTTTAATACAGCAAAGCAGATATCCCTGTCGAATTCTGTTAATACAGAGCAGACAACACCGCATGATTCTATCAGTACAGAACAGACACCACCGCGTGTTTCTATCATAACAAACGCGGGAACATCACTTGACTCCGTTCGGACAAATTCTATAACATCGGATGACTCAACCACAACAAATCAAAGAATACCAACTAACTCTTTCATGAGAGATCAAACAAAATCAACTGAATCTTCCACAAGAGATCAAACAACATTAGGTGACGTTACCACAATAGGTCAAACACCATTAGGTGACGTTACCACAACAGGTCAAACATTTCCAGGTGACATTTCCACAAGAGATCAAACAACATTAGCCGAGCCTACAACAAGAGATCAGATACCTTCAGGTCACCTGACTACTGGATATCAATCAACGTCAGGTGAGACTACCACAACAAGGCAAACGTCATCAAGTGACTCTTCCACAAGAGATCAAACAACATCAAATCACGTTACTACCAGAGATAAAACAACATCAGACGACTTTTCAACAAGAGATCAAACAACATCTGAATCTACAACAAGAGATCAGACAACATCAGGTGACTTGACCACAAGTCAAACGTCATCAAATGTCTTTTTCACAAGAGATCAAACAACACTAACTGACTCTTCCATAAAAGATCAAACACCATCTGGTGACGTTACCTCAAAAGATAAAACATCATCAGCTGACTTTGCCGCAATATATCAAACAACACCAGGTAATGTTTCCACAAGAGATCACACAACCTTAGCTGACCATACCACAAGATATCAAACAACGTCGGTTGACTCTACCACAGTAAGTCAAACATCATCATCTGACCCTTTCACAAGAGATGAAGCAACATCAACTGGCTCTTCCACAAGATATCAACAAACTTCAGCTGACTCAACCAAAAGATATCAAACACCATCAAGTAACGTTACCACAAGAGATCAAACAACACCAAGTGAAGCTCCAATCAGAGATCACACAACATTACCTGAATCTACAACAAGAGTTCAGTCAACATCCGGTGATGTTTCTACAAGAGATACAACAACATCAGCTGGCCCTACCACAAAAGATCAGACAACATCAGGTGACTCTACCATAATATATAAAACAACGTCAGGTTACCCTACCACAAGAGATCAAACATCACCAGGTGCCGTTACTACAATAGGTAAAACAACATCAGACTCTTCAAAAATAAGCCAAGCATTGCTACCTATTTTAACCACTATAAATTCAGTCAAATCACCAGACTCTATCATAACAATTCATAATCTTTTACTTGAAACTACGAAGACAGACCCGGCAACATCTATTGAATCGGCAATAACAAGTCAATCAACATCTACTAAGTCAACCAACACCCTAAAGACTACTCCTGTTGTTTCTACTGCAAATCATCAAGACGTTACGTTTGCCATTACAAGTCAGACAGAATCAGCCGATTCCACCACAATAAACTCAAAGCCTGTCCACGATTCTACAACGTCAAGTAAGCAATCAAAATCTTATTCCACGACAAGTACATCTGATTCTAACACAATTCGAGATTCGTGGCTTAAACACACCACAGCCAATAATAACATACCACCTGATTCTACTACAACAAAACAGGAAACACCTGATTCTGTCTCAACAAATCAGGAAATTTTACCTGGTTCTACGCCTACTCGTCAGACGACATCAGTTAATTATATCAAAAGTGAGACAACACCTGGTGATTTTTCTTCTTTAACAATGCAAGATATGTCGCCTACTTTTTATAATGATACAAAGCAGTCATCAATTATACACGATTCCACTGTATCAAGTAAGTATTCATCTACTTCTATACAATCGACAAAACCAAACATTTTTGCATCAACAGGGTCAAAATCAACGGAATTGACTCATGTATCACCAAAAACCTCAGGAATTTCCACACAAACTCATGTTTCGTCAACACCGTCGGGGTTTACCGCCTCCCCTGTTTTGTCAACGACCCAATTATCATCAATATCGACAGCTGAACCTGACTTGTTACCAACAACTATGGAGTCTGATAGTAGTCATTCATCCACAGTGTCGACGTCGACCAAATATTTTCCACCAATAACCTCCGAATCTGACACATCGATCAATCTGCTATCCACATTACCACAGTCTGACACACCAACCAATGAGCTGTCCTCAACTGATGAACCCCTATCCTCAACACACAAGATAATAACAGACAAATCATCAAGAATATTAGAGTCAACGTCAACAGCATCGAATATCACTGCACCAATGACATCTCCGTCTACTACATCGATTTATCAACTACCAATGACGTCAGAGTCTTCACATTCCGCTGCAAAGTCTTTGAAACCTTTGGAGTCTACAATATCAAATGATCCATCGACAAAAGATGCAGAGTCTACGATATATACTCAGTCTACAAAAACACCGATTGAATCAGCAATATATACTGAAGATCCAATAACACCAGAGACGACCATGTCTAATTATTTAGAGTCCACAACATCAGAGTATACTACATCATCTCATTTAACACAAACAACGCTAGATTTAATGACATCAGTTCAGCTGCCGACTTCTAACCCAAAGATAACCACATCTGCCCATCTGCCGTCAACACTATCGGAGTCTACCACATCTACCCATCTGCCGTCAACACTATCGGAGTCTACCACATCTACCCATCTGCCGTCAACACTATCGGAGTCTACCACATCTACCCATCTACCGTCAACACTATCGGAGTCTACCACATCTACCCAACTACCATCAACAATATCGGAGTCAACCACATATTCTCATTCAAAACATACTACGAATGAGGCGGCCACATCTACTCAGGTACCACCAGCTGAACCAGGGACTTCCACTGTTACCCAAAGACCGTTTAAAACTTCACAGTCTACCATTTTAAATCAAACACCAACACAAACCAATCAGTTTTCAACAACACCATCCGATGCAACTCAACTGTCAACAACACCAGAGTCTACAAGATCTTCTGATGTAACACATACAACGATTGAGTCACCCATAACTAATGAGGTTCCATCAACAACACAGGAACCTCCTACGTCGACAATTATACAGTCAACAACACCTACGCATTCAACACAAACAACGCAAGAGGCAACAGAGTCACTCATGTCTACTTATATATTATCAACAAAATTAGAACAAGATGATCATACAAGTATCCAAACAACAGGTATGCTATTGTTTCTGTAATTGTACAAAAGATAAAAGGATATAATAACATGACACACTACAAAATGCAGTTCGATCAAGCTTTCCAAACAGTAAAAGGTGATGAAGACAGCAGAAAGTACTGCTGAAATGGTACAGCAATACTCAATTATAACAAAAAATAGAATTATGTCTTTTCGTTTGTGAATGTCATACCATGTACATGTATGTAATGATTTTGTTTGTGATGTATTGTATAAACTGTATGTCTTCCTAAAATAAATAAGCTCTTAGTTAAATGTCTATTCGGTTAGTTAAATATTATCATAGTTGCAAGCAAGAATGCGCTACATTCTGAATAAGTCTGTACATATGAGGGCAACAAACTAGCAATGCGCAAAAACTCATCAAATATACCAGGCTATAGCCTAGATGCGTGTTTCGGTTTCACAAGACTCATTAGTGGCTCTCGGATCAAAACCACTGGAAAGTCACAAACATAACAAAGTTGAAAAATCCAATATAACCCTATATATATGTTAAATATAAAAAGTTAAAGACCAACACAACATTATAAACCATACGCCATCATAACGTACCCTTATTTTGCAGTTAATAATCAAGAATATACAACTGATTTTAATGGATTAACAACAAAACAAGATAAATCTTTACGAGATATAACATCGTATCAACCGATTTCTACTACTCAAGACGTTCTTGCAAATACAGATTTAGAACATACTGCTAAACATCATGATTTTATGGTAGCGTCTACAACACATGGAGAAATTGACAGCAAAACTGCAACTACATACACGATAGAGGTTGAGGTAGATTTCACAACAGAATTCCAGAAAACTGACCAGGACATGTCAACTGTTAAAGGAAGTAATACGGAATCAGATACTTCCAAAAATACAATTTTTGATGTAACAGACGAAAATGTGACAACCAATATGTTGGATACAAATACAGTAATCAATAATAGTACTGCTTTCAAAGGTACGACATTTCAAGCAGTCAGCACAGCAAAAATACCGAACTCAAGTACGCATTATAAAACCACGCCTTTTGTAAGTACACCCATTAAAGAGGTAACAGATTCATCAGATTCAATTACTGAAAGCCCAAAAAGCATAGTTAAGAAAACATCAATAAACATTCAAAGTTTTTCAGAGAAAACTACAACAGACGATATAGCAAACATTCGAACGTCAGGTACAGCAGTCAGCATACACACGTCACCTGTCCAAGGCGACAAGTCTAGAACACTATTTACAGCTACAACTGGTATTACACCCGGTGTCAATTATAAAACCACTGTTGGCATCACGTCAAATGAAAAAAAATCACATTTTGATAGGGTCACATCTAGTATACAAGATGCATTCACAACGTCTCCTATAACAGTAGAAACTATTGAAGCAGATGCCATGGCAACTTTACTACAATCTAAAGGAACTACTACCAATGCACAAGATGTAGTAACATCTTTTACCACCGTACGGGATGCAACGAAATTAATAATCACATCTAGTAAACAAGATACACCAAGGGCAGATAACACGGCCAATGAACATGATGTAACTCCAACAACAGAAGGTATAACGGTCAGTGTACAAGATACAACAACAGATAGTTTAACGTCCGGTGAACAAGATGTTACCACAGCAGGTACGGTATCTAGTGTACAGAAAAAATCCTCAGATAAATTTTTGACCCATACGCAAGATATTTCCACAGCAGGTAAAACCTCCATTGTACAAGATACGACCACAGTGGGTATAAACTCAAGTAAACAAGATTCAACCACAGATGGTATGACTTCCAACGAACATGATTCAATCACAGCAGGTATAACTTCCAGTGCACAAGATAAAACGACAGATGGTTTAACGCCCGGTATACAAGATGCTACCACAGCAGGTATCACCTCTAGCGTACAGAAAACAACCTCAGAGTACATTATGTCCCATGCTCAAGATTCTACAACAGCAGGTATAACGTCAAGTGTACAGAATACGACCCCAGTAGTTAAAACTTCCAGAGTACAAGATACTACCATAGCAGCTGTAACTACCAATGTACAAGAAACGTCTACATCAAATAAAACTTCCAGTGTACAAGAAACGACTACAACAGGTATAACGACCAGTGTACAAGATACGACAACAGCAGGTATAACCAACAATGTACAAGATACGCCTACAGCCGGGATAACTTTCAGGGTACAAGATACGACTTCAGCAGCACCAATAACCAGTGAACAAGGTACGAAAATAGAAGGTATAACTTCCAGTGTACAAGATCAAACCAGAGATGGTTTAACGTCCGGTGTACATGATGCTACTACAGCAGGTAAGCCGTCAAGCGTACAGAAAACAATCTCTGAGCATATCATGTCCCATGTGCAGTATTCTTCTACAGCAGATGTAACGTCCAGTGTACAAGATACTTCCACAGCAGATGAAAAGTTCAGTGTACAAGATACTTCCAAAACAGGTATAACGTTCATGATACAAGATACGACTACGTCAGGTATAACTTCCAGCGTACAAGATTCAACCTCAGTGGGTATGATGTCCAACTTTCTTGAACCAACCACATCAGCTATAACTCCTGTAGAACAAGATTCAACCAAACCAGGTTTAACGTCTAGTTTACAAGATGCAACTACAGCAAGTAAAACCTCCAGTGTACGGAAAACAACCTCAGAAGAAATGATGTCCACAGATCATGGTGCGACAGCAGCAGCTATAATCTCTCGTGTACAAGATGCAACCACAGCTAGTATAACATTCAGTGAAAAAGATACCACTGATGGTTTAAAGTCAAGTTTACAAGATGCAACTACAACAAGTATGACAGCAGAGGGTATGATGTCTAAATATCACCATGCGACTTCAGCAGGTATAACCCCTAGTGTACAAGATGCAACCACAGCTATAATAACATCAAGTAGACAAGACACAACCACAGAGGGTATGATGTCAAACGTTCATTATACGACCCTAGCAGGTATGACCGCCAATGAACATTATTCAAATATAGCAGGTGTAACGTCCAATGTGCAAGATACAACCATAGGTGACTTTAAGTTCCGTTTACAAGATGCAACTACAGCAGGTACGAGACCCAGTGTACAGAAAACAACATCAGAAGGTAAATTTTCAAAAGTAAATGATGTGACCGCAGCAGGTATAACCTCCAGTGTACAAGATTCAACCTCAAAAGGTGTAACGTCCAGTGTACAAAACATAACACCGTCCATTTTACAAGATGCCAAGGTGACGTCTACTGTACAACAGACAACCTCAGAGAGTATGATGTCAAAAGAGCAAGGTGCAACCACAGCAGGTATGACGTCCGCTGTAAGAGAAACAACATCAGAAGGTAAGATGTCAAATATTCATTATACGACTATCGCAGGTATGAGCTCCAGTATACACGATTCAACCATAACAGATATAACGTCCGGTGTACAAAGTACAACCACAGATGGTATAACACCCAGTTTACAAGATGTAACAACAGCAGATATGACGTCTACTGCACAACAGACAACCTCAGAGGGTATGATGTCCAAAAAGCATGGTGCAAACACAACAGGTAAGACGTCCGCTGTTAAACATACAACGTCAGACGGTACGATATCAAACGATGATTATAGACATATAGCAGGTATGACCTCCAGTGTACATGATTCAACAATAACAGATAGAATGTCCGGTGTACAAGGTACAACCACAGATGGTATAAAACCCAGTTTACTAGATGCAACAACATCAGGTAAGACGTCTACTGCACAACAAACAACCTCAGAGGGTATGGTGACCAAAGAGCAAGCTGCAACCACAGCAGGTATGACGTCCGTTGTAAGAGACACAACCACAGAGGGTACGATGTCAAACGTCTATTTTACGACTATAGCAGGTATGACCTCCAGTGTACCTGATTCAACCATAACAGATATAATGTCCAGTGTACAAGGTACAACCACAGATGATTTAACACCCAGTTTACTAGATGCAACAACAGTAGGTATGACGACCATCGTATCAGATACAACCTCAGAGGGTATGGTGTCCAAAGAGCAAGCTGCAACTACAGCAGGTATGACGTCCGCTGTAAGAGACTTAACCACAGAGGGTACGATGTCAAACGTCCATTATACGACTATAGTAGGTATGACCTCCAGTGTACCTGATTCAACCATAACAGATATAACGTCCAGTGTACAAGGTACAACCACAGATGGTATAACGCCCAGTTTACAAGATTCAACAACAGCAGGTATGACGGCCATCGTATCAGATACAACCTCAGATGGTTTGATGTCCAAAGAGCAAGATGCAACAACTGCAGGTATAACGTCCATCGTATCAGATACAACATCAGAGCGTATAAAGTCCCATGAGCAAGATGTTACTACAGCAAGTATGACGTCCATCGTATCAGATACAACATCAGAGCGTATAAAGTCCCATGATCAAGGTGCAACCACAGCAGGTATGACGTCCATCGTATCAGATACAACATCAGAGCGTATAAAGTCCAAAGAGCAAGATGTAACCACAGCAGGTATGACGTCCATCGTATCAGATACAACATCAGAGCGCATAAAGTCCAATGAGCAAGATGTAACCACAGCAGGTATGACGTCCATCGTATCAGATACAACATCAGAGCGTATAAAGTCCAATGAGCAAGATGTAACCACAGCAGGTATGACGTCCATCGTATCAGATACAACATCAGAGCGTATAAAGTCCAATGAGCAAGGTGCAACCACAGCAGGTATGACGTCCATCGTATCAGATACAACATCAGAGCGTATAAAGTCCAATGAGCAAGGTGCAACCACAGCAGGTATGACGTCCATCGTATCAGATACAACATCAGAGCGTATAAAGTCCAATGAGCAAGATGTAACCACAGCAGGTATGACGACCATCGTATCAGATACAACATCAGAGCGTATAAAGTCCAATGAGCAAGATGTAACCACAGCAGGTATGACGTCCATCGTATCAGATACAACATCCGAGCGTATAAAGTCCAATGAGCAAGGTGCAACCACAGCAGGTATGACGTCCATCGTATCAGATACAACATCAGAGCGTATAAAGTCCAATGAGCAAGATGCAACAACAGCAGGTATGACGTCCATCGTATCAGATACAACATCAGAGCGTATAAAGTCCAATGAGCAAGGTGCAACCACAGCAGGTATGACGTCCATCGTATCAGATACAACATCAGAGCGTATAAAGTCCAATGTGCAAGATGTTACCACAGCTGGTATGACGTCCATCGTATCAGATACAACATCAGCGGGTATGGTGTCAAATTTTCATGATACGACCACATCAGATATGACGTCCAAAGCAGATATAACTTCCAATACGCAAGATATAACCACCGAGAGCATGATATCAAAATCACAAGATTCAACCTCAGTAGTAAGAGATATTACCATAATGGCCATCACATACAGTATACATGATACAACCAGAGCAATTGTTAAGTCCAGTGTAGGAGACGATACAACAACAGTCGATACCTTGTCCATAATACAAGATACAACCAATGCAGGTATCACGTATAACGAAAAAGGTTCAACTAACAAGAAAGTAAACATACAAGGTATTGTCCTTTGTAATTTCTGTAAACAGTTTCGTTACAATTCAATATCAGTATATTTAGATTAATAGCAAAATTAATGTCAAATTACCTATTTTGCTGCGTTCAAAGCGTTTTTTCATTATAAACCTTCATCAGGGGTTAATAACGTAATAAGCAAAAAAATTACCCACGTAATCATGTATATATGAGACCGAATGCATGCATGAGGTAGTATGCATTGATTGCCCTGGATATGATGACGTCTTTATTCCTTATTTATGTGTTGTCTTATATGTGTTGCTGTTCTTATAACGTTGTTCGATCTTTCAACGCTATGTAAATAGTTCACAAAAATGTTCCTATTCTGCAAACCGATATTGATAACGATACTAGAATAGAACAAAAAAGAGACATATAATTGGACTTGTGATTTGTCGATTTAGAACATACCTAGAAATACACCTGTTCCTAAAAATTATGCTGTGCATTTACGGTACCACAATACAACACAAAAGCACAAACAATTAAGGGTTTGGAAAGAAACGTGGTACAGTTAATAAAGAAGAAATATGATAATAGTGGTACAAAGATTTTCCAAAAACAAGAGTCCTCCATAAAATTCTTTTCAAGCAAAATGTCAATCAGAACCACTAAAACACCATGCTGGAAAACTCAAAAGTCTATGAAGAAAACATGAAACTAAAGGCAGTCAACAGTTTTGCCAGTTTAATTTTTGTTCATCTAGTGAATCGTTTATTAACGATGGTCGCATAATGGAGCGAAATGATTATTGATTATTTCTTTAAAAAATTTAACATCCAAATTAATAACCACATAACAATCTTGCACTAGTTAAAACAATCAATCGATTTTTCAATGATCATTACATCGTATATATGTTTCGTCAGCACGCAATTTGAAACACGGGCGCATTATCTAGAATTGTAATATGTGTGAATTGTGTATTTAATTATTTGCCATATCAGTAAACATGACAACAAGTTACAGTTATCAACAAATTAAAAAAAAAATTAAAAAATAGAATCAACAACAATGCAATGTAACAGTAAGAGTAAACCATTATGACAATGTGAATTGCTTGGCCAGAAGGAAAATAGAGACACTCAAACTAAGCAAAAACCATTAACTGCATATAATGTTTGAAACAAACCAAACAACATCACATTGTGAGTGTGTGCTTTTTCATGTGTACATGTACATTGTAGCTTTGTCTTTATATTGTTAAGTAAATTGTCAATATATGTTATTCATATGCTGTTCACACACTGAAACGAGTAACACAAACGAAGGTATTCTGTTTTTTGAAAGATATAATAATACGGAAAAAGATGCATATAATGGTATAGGTTAACTATTGACTCCAACACTTAATTATACTCTTTCTGTCATTTGATAACGAATATCACCAAGAAGTACAAAATTAAAAATTCAGTAAGAGAGTAAATGTTGAAATTTACGTTGAACACATACTGTAAACCACTGTTTGGAATATTACAAAACCTGTGCACTTTAGTCTAAAACATAATTACCATTTAAGTGCAATCGTTATAAACAGGTAGTTTTAGCATCTTTGATATATATGAAAATAAGGAGATGTGGTATGATTGCCAATGAGAAAATCTTTCCATCATAGTTCAAATGACGAAGATAAAAACCCATTGGTTGTATTAATAAAGAATTTAGATGTGTTAATTTATGTTCCCATATCAATACTCGACTGCAAATGTTTTTTTAAGAAATATTAATGTTTGATTATCGTTTGATTAGTAATTCATTATTGTTCATCCCTTCGTAAATTTTACTGACGCCATCACGAGTTGGTTGACCGTTGACTGTTATGAAATACCCGTTTCACAGATGACAGCGGATATGTTCCAATTGTCGTAACTAAAATCCCGTCCCTTTTTCTCCGAATGTGACCTACCGAATTAGACTTATTACTGGGTTTGTACTAACATGAGCAACACGACGGGTTCCACATGTGGAGCAGGATCTGCTTACCCTTACGGAGCACCTGAGATCACCCCAAGTTTTTGGTGGGGTTCGTGTTGCTCAGTCTTAAGATTTCTATGTTATGTTTTGTGTATTGTTGTTTGTCTGTTGATATTTTTCTTTTTTTGGCTATGGCGTTGTCAGTTTGTTATCTATTTATGAGTTTGAATGTCCCTTTTTGTATCTTTCGCCTCTCTTTTTCAAACGTATTTATTTTCCTGTTATGATTAAAACAGAGTAAAGAAAATGCGCAATGTTATCTCGTAGTACACGGGAACACACATCACAATAAAAACTGAAAGGTTTGAGTCTAGTTGCAAAGGTAGGGTAAGCATCTCATGTAATGCATGATTCAATGCTTATACAAAACCAGTTTCTACAAATCTCAAATGATTATGAAAAACAATACGATAAGATTTGAAAATTAAGATGAGAATTTTTTGTGTGGGGTGGGAGGGGAAAAGGGGGGGGGGGGGTGAGAAGTGTACAAAAATTGAACTACTCCTAGTACTTTATACGAAAAGGTGAATTGCAACTGAACTTTACTGCATTAATATTACTTAAACCTAGACTGACATCAACAATTACGTGGCTCAATTATTCGATTGATTGACTGATGGTTGCTTTACGCCGCAACAGTGCATGAACTATTTGAAGAAGCAGGTAAAATAGTTTGGGTTTGGATTTACTTTCAGACACCACTACGGTAGACACACCAATAGTTTCAAGTTCAGGAACTTTTGATCAAAATGACGACACTCATAATACAGAAGAAAGTATCATCATTCCTACTCAAGATAAAACATATCAAGAAAGTACATCTGGCACGACATTTAAAATCATCGTATCAGAATCAGAAACAACTTCTAAAGTCATTTCAACTGCACCAATTACAAATGACTATAGTACTAGGACTACAGGAGGTTTCACTACCGGGGATACAAGATATTACACTACTGAGAATACAGAAAAAACAGATAGAGCACAATCAACTATAAATTATGGTAAAATGTTAACGAGTCAAGGTAAATCGTCGACTTCTTTAGTATCTGAAGAATCAACTTCAAAAAAAATTTCAACCTCAGAACACCGCGAATCTGTTGATCAAAATACAGAAAGTTCAAAACACCCAACCTCATTGATAGAAGGAGGAACCACTGAATCTTCACTTCATACACATAATTATGTTACCACTGACGGTGGAAGCAGTGCTATGAAAAATACCAACCAACCTACCACGGTGTTTGATTTAAATAGCAGTTCTACCAGCAACGTTAGTATGAACTTAGACAGGGAAATAACGACCGCTACCAACGAACAATTAACAAGTGGAAATAGTATTAGTATTACAGATGGTGGTACAACTGTTGATAGACATATTACACCTTCAGCTGAAAGCAGTGCAATTTCCATTGATGAAATGACTACATTTGGTGATGAGGATACTTCTCCAAGGACTACAACTAGAACAAGCGTTGCTGGAATTTTTACTTCAGGAAACTTACAATCTACTTATTTGAACAGAATAAGTACAGAATACGTCAGTGATACTGTTACTTCCGTAAATGGTTATACAACTCCGCAGTTCAGTAGGCCTGGAAATCATGGTGGTGACACAACACATGTGACTGTTCGAAATACAGCAATCAAGACATCCACAAGTGAGTACAATAACGATTTAAGTACCTCTGGGCAAACACTTACATCAACTGAAAAAAGTAGTTCTACGGAGGAAGTTCATGAAATGATTTTTAAAGAAGGTGAACAAACCAACCTTGCAGAAAATCCCACTTCAAAACCTGTCAGAGCTGATGGGGTAACTACCCTTCAAACGAATATCGTTAAAAGTCAAAATCATGATGCAGCTATAATAATTGACCAATACTTGACTTCCAATGCTGTCTTCTGTAGGCAAATGGCCATAGCACATTGGAGACGAAAACTGTTGAAGTAAACAATGAATATACAACTGCTTCTACTAATATCTATAATATAAACAGTAGTCCTCAAAGATATGCTTATGAAACAGCAGCTTCTGTTTCTAAACTCTTACAAGTGAAATAAATGAAGATAATAAATAAATAATAAATTCACAAGAGTTCTAACCCTAATGACGAAATAACAGTTTTAAATCATATGACGACGAGTTCTAAAAAAAACAGTTGTATATTATATAGTTATAATATAATCGTCGGAGACATTAAAACCTTTATCAGCAATTCACAAGATGTCACAATAAAAACTTACACGCCATACATCTAACTTTAGGCGTACAGAGTAATGTATGTTGAAATTTTTGGCAAATATGTATTCATAGGATTAAAATGAAACATTGCCAAACGATCATTTTCACTTATGACAAATAGTTTGAAGATTCATAAACATTTTTAGAGATTCTAAAGAAACGACAATATAAACGCAATATATGTTAAACATACTGTAATATTTTCTACCATTCGCCATTCGAACATAATTCTAACACAATTTCCATTTTGTAATATTTTCAGATACACGTACAACAAAGAATCTACCAACCACTGACGATTCGTCCAAAATAATAACTCAAACATCTTTATCGAATATTAAACAATCTACCAAAGAAGAACGTGCACTGACGACAGATAATGTTGTAGCAACACCATTCTTTCCTAATACAGAATCGACTTCTATTACTACTAATGAGCAAGAGAAAAAAACATCAACTGAAAATGAACGGAACACCGTAACAGGCTATGCTGAGTCGCATACAAAGACGGAAACAAAAATATCTTCCAGTATATCAGATATACTTCGAACGACTAAACATCATTTTAAAACACCGTCACAATCTTTACAAGAAACAGAACTACCGATAACTGCATTTCTAAAATCATCAACAATTTCCAATAATCCGACAACTGACACCAAAACAATAACTAATAATCCGATGACAACAACAGCAGCCAATGTTTCAAGAACCATTTCCAATGATCCGACTATGACTAAAAGTACAACCTTCACAACCAATTCCGAAAATCGAAAGACAACAGAAATAAACACCACTTCCAGAACAAAATTGCCCAGCAGTATGCTTACAACGGAAATACCACTATTAACATCAACATTCGAAAGCACTCCGACTACAACAAAAATCCCAGTGACTACTTCAAAGACATCAAGTAATCCAATGATGACAGAAAGTTTACTCTCCACAACAAGAACTTCCGACTATCCAGTGACAGTAGCATCAACCTTTACCAATACCTATACTACTACATCAGACATTTCTAACAGTGCAATGACAACTGAAAATCATATTCGTACAGAAGCCTTCTTCAAAACTCCTACGACATCAAAAGTCACTACTTCGTCAGGAAACCAGCATTCATCAACAATTACTGTTAAATTAACGCCAGTCGAGGATATGTCAACCACATCTGAAGGACAAAGAAAACCGACAACACAAGCAGTAACTGTAGAAAATACAGCTGATACTTCTTTAAATGATCAAACCTCAGAAGTTACAGATGCTGATGATGTTTTTACAAATGGACTTACAACTGGCGGTGAGCCAACAGATAGAAAAACTGATTACACATTTTTACAATTTTTCAACATTTCAACAACAAAAAACAAAAACTCTGCATTAACCCCTGGTGGAAATGCATATACCCTTTCACAAACTCCCACAACGCAGGATAGTCAAAACAATTCAGGTTATATGGTTGATAAATCTACTGTCTCTAGTGTTGATAATACACACATCGATTTTTCTTCTGCAACTTATTCAAAAAATAGGGACATAACTCAGGCATCTACGAGTTTTCGAAATACAATAAGTACTTTGAAAAACAAATTAAACACTGGTGCTATTACAAATACTTTCAAAACAGATATGCGCTCTCATTCATATGATAATACATTTCCTGCTATTTCAGAACCAAGTACAGCAACTGCATCAAACAATGAAGGTACAGAATATTCAATCCCGACAACAAAGTTCACAAGCTCTTTAGCTTATGTTACGGAATCGACGCCATCCAGACAGACGACAGATTCAAAACGTTCATTACCAGCTGACATGACAACTCAACCGTCTGCAGATTTTTCTACAGCAACAAGTACAAATGACATACTTATATCAGACTCTAAAACAACATCCATAGATAAGGAATCCACAACAAAGATGTCAACCTTAGAGTCATTAAAAGTCACAACAAGTAATTTACAAACTACCATTACAACATCGAATTCAGATGTTGAGTTAAGCACAAGTTCACACAGTGAAGGCATTAAAACAACGGGCTTGGAAATATCAACGTTTGATACTAATAATGGATATAGATCAAGCACAGTAAAAGAAGATGTTTCTTCTGGTTTTCCATTACGTACTGAAAATACTGAAACTGTTGTAAGCAATTCGATTACAACCGATATTGGTAGAGTAACTAAAACGTACAGTACAGAGGATGTTCCCTCTTCGGCGTCAATTTCCACTAGACGTTTATATACATACACAACTGATGGTTTGACTGATATATCCGCATCTGAGACTTTATCAACTAAAGAATCAGTTAAGGACATTTCACTAGATAGAGAAAGTTCGACTCCTGATTTTAGTACTTCTCAAACAAAGAGTGAGACAGCTGAAATGTCATACACACCTCCCGTTGGAACATCTTTTGTATCATTTGCTTCTAAAATGACATCTGAAGATGCTTCTTTTGTCTTCACAGGTACAGAAATAACTGCTGCAGTCGTGACATCAGACACAGAAATGTCATCAGGCGTTACCGTTGCCCTTACACATAGTTCTGAGAAAGAATCTGCACCTGTAAGTTCAACAGCAATTATAACGGTCCCTCATGATGTGCCATTGACAACGCAAGGTTATAAGGAATCAGAGGCGGCAACTACAAAGTCAGTTTCAGAGGTACCCTCTACAGAGGAGATGTCTACAAAGTTTGTTACTGACTTAAAGTCGACAAAGGTTGTACCGTCCCAAAAGTCGTTGACAACATCTTCAACGTCTGATGTAACGTCTCAGGAAATGGTAGTTACAACTTTAGATACAGATTCACCGACCCCGGTGAAGATTGCTACACCATCGGATGTTGAAATGTTATCTCCTGAAATGAAATCTACAACATCAAAAACTGAAGTGCCTTCTCCAAATATAGTATCAACAACGTCATATACCGAGGTTTCCTCTACAGAAGTGGTGTCTTCAAAGTCAAATTATGAATTAACGTCACTAGAGGAAGTAATAACTAAGACGACAACAGATGAAGAAGTTTTGATTACAGCGTCAGATACTGAGTTTCTGTCTACAGAGGTGATGGCTACAAAAACAGAAACCGAGGCGCCGTCAAAGACAGTGCAGACTGGAACACCAGAGATGATGATTCACACTACATCAAGTACTGAAGTTTCATGGGCTGTTAGTACTCCAAATGCCAAAGCATTTTCCACAGATGTATCTGCTTCAAGTGTAAAGGATAAAACAATAGTTGGCGCAACTTCTCCATCGGTTCAAACAACACATATGTACGAACAGTATGTATCGGGTACAAAATCAAAGGCTGATGGTGCCTTAACAAGTATAACGGCAAAGCCTACATTATTGTCTGACACACCTTCTTTAGATCAAGCTGTTTCGACATCAAGTAGTACGTCGCATATAGGGTCAAGCACAAGTGCATCTTCTCTAGATACAACCGATACAACTTTAGGCACTGGTGCAGTCTCTTCAGAAATAACAACTACGCGCACTGGTCTGTCATCGGAAATAACATTTACAGCGGCGGATTTGAAATTTGCAACAGACAAAACCTTCTTAAAATCAAGTACGGAACAGCCTAATGGGAGTGATTATTCTTCAATATACAATACTCATACTCATGTAGCAGATATAACAGATGGAAAACCGAGCATTGAGGCGACGACTGATGTCACAGGTTCCAGTAAAACTAGTGACATGCCTTCTGCAGTCTTTGCAGCTTCAACATTTGCTAAAGAGACTCTCCTCCCAGAAACAACGGTTTCTGAAGAAACATCTGCTGAAATGGAGTCTGCATTACCAAATACGAAAACATCGTCTGTAGAATTGAAGACTGCAACATCTATTAGTAAGACGAATTCCCAAAAGGTGGAAAGTACAACATCTACTACAATTGCATCTTCCCAGGAAATGGAGACTACTCCCTTAATAAGTAAAACTCACTCTGAAGAAGGGAAACCTACAACATCAATGGAACAGACAACTCATAAGGTTGAAGGTACAATGTTTACTACTGAAGAACATTCAACGAAAGTTGAGGATACAACGTCTTTCAAACCAGTATCATCTTCGGGTCTAGAGGGAACCACTTTAATTAGTGACACACCTCCCAGAGTGACAAGTGATGAACAATCAATTACTCATACATCCACTGACAATATGTATACTACAACGTTTGTTACTGACACACGGTCTATGAAAATTGAGGATACAGTAGCAGTTATTCAAGCAACTTCACAAGGGTTAGAATTGAGAACATCGTCAACCCATACCACTTCTCCGGAGGACGCTTCATTGTCAATAAGTAAGACATCTTCACATGCGACTAGTGATGTGTCTTCTTTACATATTGTTTCTACATCAACAAAGCCGTCTTCTGAAAAGGTGGAAGCTACAGTATCCGTTGTGAAAGTTTCAACTTTTCCTGATGTAACTGCTGTGTCAACTCATAACGCATCTGTAACATCTGGTACTGAAACATCTTTGCCACAGGTGACAACTACTAAGTCATCGTATGAAACATTACAAACTGAGATGACTTCTATAGAAAATGACATGGCAACATCAGCTAATCCTAAGACAAGTTCTAAGATTTCAACAACAACATCAATGATTCATAAACCGTCTTCAAGTGCAGAGGCTACCTCAACAGATATTGCAACTACAGTATTAAGAAATGAATTAACTTCCTCGGAAGTTACACCTATAACACCAAACACCGAGACATTTTCTCAAAAAGCAGTGGCTACAACTGCAACCACTATGTCAGTTCCCAATTTTTCACTTGTAACACTTAGTGAAACATCTTCCCAAGACGTGTCTGCGACAACTTCGAGAACTCCGATGCCATATACTGAGTTTTCATCTACGACAGCAAACCTTTTTTCAGCTTCATCAGATATGTCAGCTATTTCATCAAATACTGAGCAACATTCTTCACATAAATCTGGCGGAACAACAAATGGTATGGTATTTTCAGAAAGTACATCTTCAACAGCTAATGTGGAAGTTCCATTAACCTCTGAGGCAATTTTAAAAGAGACATCTACAAATGAAAAACCTAATACTAAAATATTTATAACAACACCCAGTACTGTATCCATTTCCCCAGAAGTAACAGTTAGTGCGACAAACACTAAAACAAATGTTCTTTCATCAGAAGTAACTACAAAATCCAAAATTGATGTGTCTTCTTCTGAGGGAACGGTTACAACGGCGGAGACTTCATTGGGCGAAACTGCGACAAATAAAGAATTACTATCCTCTGAGGCTGCGTATAAAACATCAACTACTAAAGCACATGAAACTGAGACGCAAACTACAAGTACTAATATGCTGTCTACAGTAGAAAGTAGTGATGGAATATCTCATACAGAGGTTACCATCATAGAATCAAACACTGTGAAAACACAACCAGATACATCTAAAACAACTAGTGCCGAGTTGTTGTCACAAGATGTCACTTCTTCATTACATGGTACTAGTGCGCCTTCTATTATGAGTATGACAACGCCATCTACTGAGAGGTCTTCTGACCATTTGACGAATACAATACAAAGTACTGTCATACCTCAAAGCCTGAAGACAACATTGGGGACAGTAACGCCCTTCCAGGAGACTTTTCTGTCGTCTTCCGACGAACAAGTGACATCATTTAGTAAGACAACATTCAAAGATATTTCCGAATCAATTCATAGTACAGAAGATTTAGGTGTTATTTCAACAGTTTATGAAATGGTTACCAATTCCGAAAAGGAAACACAAACAACGTCAATACCTGAAATAGTGTCTTCTTCTGAGGGAACGGTTACAACGGCGGAGACTTCATTGGGCGAAACCGTGACAAATAAAGAATTACTATCCTCTGAGGCTGCGTATAAAACATCAACTACTAAAGCACTTGAAACTGAGACGCAAACTGCAAGTACTAATATGCTGTCTACAGTAGAAAGTAGTGATGGAATATCTCATACAGAGGTTACCATCATAGAATCAAACACTGTGAAAACACAACCAGATACATCTAAAACAACTAGTGCTGTAACATCAACTTTTGAAATATCCGAAGATGGGAAAAGTGTTACATCAGTTGGTGAGGTATCATCTACACTACATTTTCAAACTCCATCTGATGAGATGTCACAAACCAAATCTAGTGTATCATCAAGTGATTACGCTTCTGACAAATATATATCCTCAGGTTTGTCATTTAGTACGGAGACGTTCATTGAAAACATGCAATCGTCTCTAGATCACACATCAACGCATTCCAAAAAGACAGATTCAGTTGTTACAACTGAAACGACCACAGTGGGTTCCATATCAGTAGACAAGTCCACTGTTACAGCACACACAAAAGAGAAAACTACCGGGACACCTGTAACAATACAGTCACAAGGCAAAACCACTTCTGTACAAAATTCAAAAACAGATGTATATAATACAACGGCTTTATCCTCAATCACGAATAAAATATTAACAGATGACATTACGACAAATGAATCTTCAGTAACTACAGTAGAACACACAACCATGATGTCAACAAGAACAGATGATAACACGACAACGTCAAATAGTTCAAACATGATAAAAGGAAGTACAGGAAAAGTAATAAGTACTGCACCCACTGAAACATCAGCTAGTAAGATGACAGTCACAGATTCAGGGACTACAAGAGATACAGAGACTATAAATATATCACAGGGTACTGCAAAAACCAGCGCAGATACTGTGCTTACGACAGAAGAGGATTCGTTTGTCTCTTCCGAGATCACAACGAAGACAACAGAAAAAACTACTTCTACCACTACAGAGACCAGTCAAACAGCTGATAATACTTCTTCAATTCATAACACAACAAAGGCAAAAGAACGTACAACTCCTTCTATTTCTGAGACAAGACAAACACAAGATGATACGGTTTTGACAACTTTCCACTCAACGATTACAACAGAACATACAAGTTCAATGACTTCTGACCCTAATCAGACAACAAATGACACGACTGTTTCAAATTCCCACATTACACAAACAAATGATATACCTTCAACTACCTCCTACGCCAAGGAAACTACATATGATGCCACGTCTACAACTTCCGACACTGTTTTAACAACAGAAAATACAACTTCTACGACTTCAAAAATAATTAAAACTACAGCAGACACGTCTTCCATTTCAATGACCACACAAACAACAGTGGATATCTCAAAAACGTCTGACAGCACACCAACAAATTTATACACAATGATTAGGTCAACCGCCTTAACAAAGCAAAATACTACAATTTATGGAACAACACCAGAAGGAACGCAACAAGAAACCACTGCTATTACAACCACTGATGTTACAGAAGATCAGAAAATAACCACAGACAGGACAACAATCACTGATAAATACCTTACTACTACAGAAGACATATTTAATATGTCAGGTATTACTGATACGACTTCAAACGATATATCAACTGAGTTATATACAATACCGAAGGTTAAAACAACAACTGACAAAAGTAGTGTGGCCACAGTAGATACATCAACATTGCAAAATCTGGCACATTTGTCGACGGTAGAAGAGGCGAATTGGAAAACTACAGAAAATACGGTTTATAAAAGTACTACTCCGACCAATAACGGATTGGTAACAGATTCGGGAAGTGAAGTATCTAAAACAGAATACCAAGGACAGATTGTAACAGATGAAGAATGGGATGATAACCTTGATGATCCTAATTCACAAGCATTTAAGGATAAAGCTGAACACATAAGGCAATTTGTAAGTATAGTTTGCTGACAACATTTGTTTTATTGATGTTTGATTATAATCATCAATCATTTTTATATGCTGAAAATTGCATTATATTTGTATAATTTATTATCAAATTTTTATCAATACAAAAGAGTTAACATAACAATGTCTTTCTGTTATCTAAAAATAAAGTTTCAACAGGATTGTGCACTTCTTTGATGTTTTGTGATAATCTTACTTTAGTTTTAATCATTCTGTTTCAGCTAATGATGCTTTTCGCCAATTCCGACTTAGCAGGACTCATAGATGATATCATTATAACAGGTTTCGAGTAAGTATTATTATGCTATATTCGCCTCAACATAACATTTAATTGATTGCTTGATACATCTGTCGCGTACAATCTCAGAAAACCACCGACAAATGGTGACAACTGATTAAATCTATCAAACACAGATACATTGAATGCACTGATTTTGTTTGTAATTTTGACTAAGTTCCCTGATGTGGTTATGATAGCATCTGAAATTACTTGTACATGTATTTATCTAATAGATATGTAGCTCTTTCTATCACTGAAGTAAACTAAGCGAATTGATATGAAGAAAATTACGTATTGGTCAATTTGAATAACTATAATGGCAATTGCGGATGTACAATAATTTCCTTATTAGTATTTTTATACGAAGACAGATTTTATTAGTAAACAATTAATGTTGAATGAATTTTTTCTCATATAATATACCCTAAATTTTGTTTTGGTTTGTATTCATATAAATTAGTTTTACAAAATTCATGTGGAAATGTTGTTGAAAGATCAAATTACAAAAATCAAATGCAAATGGAACGAATAAAAGGTACCATTTTTGTGCCTAAATTCAACAAAATTAAGAAAATCAAGGTGAACAATTTGATGCAATGTTCCATGTGTATGATTTATAGACCTGGCAGTATAATAGTACGGTTTGACGTCATAGTGATTAATGTAGAATATGATGCGTCAACTATGAAGACGAAGCTCAACCAAGGGTATCATGCCGTCAGTAATCCTGGATACGTTATTAAAGACCAAGAGACTTCCTTTATAGGTAAGATGACTATTTTTTAATAAATAAATAAACGTAATAGCAATTAAAAACGTCATTCTTACGTTATGCGTTTAAATGCCGTACATTGAAAATATATTGTTTAATAATATTCTGTTACTAGTTCATTAATATAATATTGCTTCAAAATAGAACGATTTAAAAGGGTCTACTACATTTGATTGATTTTATTTGTTCAACAATTATCAAACGCATAATCAAAATGAGAACACATGTAGAATAAGTTGATTTGTTCGAATTGAGAAAAGAGGAGTGACCGGACTAATGGCATGAACAAGTAAGCCTATACCAAATACTAAGACAAAACATAACAGTACAAAGAAAAAACAGAAGAAAGAAAACACGAATTTTACTAAAAACTGGAGGTAGAGGAATGCTAATTGGTTAGCTAATCATTTTCTGCTCCACTTATATCACCCGTCGTAGTACGCAGGACATTTTGTTGATATATATTATGACAAGACAGTAATGTGTGTCTAGCCCTAGGCCCTCGGTCATAAAACTTTACTCAGTACTCGGTGAACATAACTTGTGCTCGAAACACCAAATTCAGTATTGTGATTGTTTGATGTTTTAGTCTGAGTACGATAATCGTGCTCAAAATTTTTATGACCGCTAGGCATAATCCAACCCCTGATTCCGAAGAGGAATTCCTAGGTTCATCAATGTGAAAGTGTGGTACTTTTCTTTTTATGATATGATGTTTTGTTTAAGTTTGTTTAATCATCTACTTAACCAGACATTATGTATGTTTTATCTGTGCAATGCAATGACGAAAATGTTTAGCTTATAAGCAGAACTAGAACTTGTATTGAAATCAGATTTACACATTTATTTTTTATAAGAACAAGGATCGAGAACGACCTCTGCTGAAGATGTTGTTACAACTCCACCTTTAACAACACCTTACAGTAAGTTTTTTAATTAGGTAGTAGTGCATCAAACAAACAGGCAAATTTTGAAAAAAGTGACAAAAGGTATGATTTTTCTTTTCCTATTGTTAATTTTCCATTTTTGGACTGTGATGTTCCTCTGGCACCATCTTAGGGTGTTTATATATCCCAACTCGTGTCTGTAGTGACGTTTTGGATTTCAATGAGCGTAATCTATGTATTACTGGTAAATTATTTAGTCAGGGATTTCGTAACCACAAATTACTTAAAACCTTTACTAAATTCTTTCATAGATACAAAGATTTGGTTGCAAGTTTGGCTGTACCTGTAAAAAACTTATTTCAGACGGAATAGCACATCCTAAATTTTACGGTGATGTTGTTTACCGAGCACGGAAATTTATATACGATCCGGGTAAACTTATGAATCCTTTAAATAAACTTATTCTAAAAGGTTACCAATTCAAAACTGTAATTAGATCTTTGAATATTGTTTTTATTGGTATAAATATTGATTTTGTTATCAGTAAATTAAAATCATACTAATAAGTTTGTTATACACATATGCACTTTAACGGTACTATAATCTGTTGATCCTTTGTCATTTTGGCTTTGCACAAGGTCATGTTTTCTCTGACTGTTAATGACGTCTTTACACTAAATCCATTGGATGTTGAATGTGTACTGATTGCTATTTTAGTCTTAGATACATGATTTTTATTATTAGTTGTTATTGGCTTTGAACTAGCTGTAAGTAACTGTGAGTACTCTCAGATCTGTACTGAGTGTCCTTTTTGTTTTTAGGGATGAGGGTTGGATAAATACTCTGCCACGTCCGGTCTGTGTTTATAATTGATGTTTTTTTGCTTTGTATCGATCTGATGAGTTAAGCCTTTTTCAACTGATTTTTATAGTTTGTTCTTATGTTGTGCTGTTACACCACTGTCCCAGGTTAGGGGGAAAGTTGAGCGCTCACAAACATGTTTAACCCCGCCACATTCTTTATGTGCCTGTTCCAAGTCAGGAGCTTGTAGTTCAGTGGTTGTCGTTGGTTCATTCTGTCATATTTGTTTTTCGTTAATTGTTTTGTTATAAATTAGGCTGTTAGTTTTCTCAATTGAATTGTTTCATGTTTTTTCATGTCGGGACCTTTTATAGCCGACTATACGGTATGGGTTTTTCTCATTGTTGAAGGCCGTACGGTTGCCTATAATTGCTTACATCCACTTTATTTGAACTTTGGTGGATAGTTGTCTCATTTGCAATCATACCTCATCTCCTTATTTTTATATTTATATGAATAAAAATTGCAAAGATACCCATCATGAAATGGTACACGTTTGAGTTTGGTATTTTTGTTAATACTTTTTTTTCATACTGTCCGTTCATTGAAAATCGATGACTCAAAAGTTACATGAAAATGCACTGCACATCATGATGTTATCTCCCCCTTTAAATAGTTGTCAGTGTGCACTTCGTATAACATATATTTCTTATTGAAACGGGTTAAGTAGAAACAGTGTATAGCGTTTGCTTTAACTTTACATACTGATAAAAAAACCAGAATACTAGTAATCACATTTCAACGAAAAAAAAATCGCCTTTTGGAAGATTTTTATGTGGAGTTGTACAATTTTAAGTGAAACAAACTTAAATGTTGAAAAAATCATTCGTGCATTGGATCTGTATGAATTATCTGTCTAACTAACAGTGTCAATCCCTGCAAAATAAGAAAAAAAATACTCATCAGCACATCAAATTGTCTTTTGAAAACCGGAAAACGAAGACAAATATTAAATCTATCAAAATAGAAAAAAAGACTAGTTAAAACCTGCATGTGCCTGTCTGAATGCCCAAGTCAGTAGTTGTTTTTTTTTTATTATCAGTAAAAGTATATGGGGATTTGGTCATTATTTCTATATGTTGATATTTTTGAAAATTGGAAACCGTTCTAAAATTAAAATAAAAAACCACTTGATAATTTTCCCGAAGCTTTTCTCAATTTACCTTCACCAGGAACGTTCAAACCACAAAACATGAAAAGGCAAGGATTTAGAATATGCGAGGAGCACGTGACAAAATAACCTCGACAATTTTCATTAAAAACTGAAAGTAGATACAGTTTCGTGCTTAATATTAGGATAACATTTTGAACTTTTTTAATCTTTTGTTTAGAAATGAATTACGAAACCCACAGTTTACTTGTAATTTACCATTCTTAGGCCATACTTTTGCTTAAAAGGGTCAATGGTCAAATTGACAGACACACTTATTAGACTTTGTGTCAAACTTATCCCTAAATATTTTAACATAGAACATACGATAAAACGAAAACAGGACGTCCTATAAGAATATGAATGTTACGATGTGATTGGCGCCAGACGCTTTGAATAAATTAATATTTATACTACATTTGTGTATGTTTACACATTGTTGCGCACTTTATAATATAGTAATATAACGTTGATTAATGATATTTTAGTTGATCCATGCTTGTCTGCTCCATGTCCAGGAAACAGTAATTGTTCCAGTGCTGGACACGATTATACTTGTATTTGCCATCCTGGATACATCTGGGATGTTGGCACTTGTAAGGGTAAGAGCATTGTGATTTTCATCGTAAAAATTACGTTCGGATGCTTACCACAGTGTGGGTTAGCTGTCACATGGAAGCTGCATTGATGTGAGAACGTTTGAAGACCATTATCGTAGATGTATGAGTAAGGTGTCACACAAAAACTGTCGTTCAATAGACATTATTTGTATCAGTATGTAAATTGTGATCCTCATCGTTTAAGTAACAGATTTAGATGAATAAACTACCATCTTTGATGAGGTTTTGGTATAGACTTTACGGGTTAAATGCTGAGTGAACTATAGACAAATACGACTGGAGAGTAGATTCGCAAGTATTTATTGTACATATTTCGTATGAGTGTATTGACAACAATTAAGGTATCATGTGCTTCATTGACAGGTAGACAAATAACTGTAAACGTTCAATATTTTCAAAAATAAGGATAGTTAAATGATTATAACCAAAAGTAGACAATATCTTCTAGCTGAAACTTTATCTTATCAAAATTAGTATTGAATCAGATGTGTTTTCTTAATATGACTTAGTAAGAAGTTTTACCACTTTAAAATATCATAAACTGTCTTTCAAAGTATATACATATCTTTATATGTTTTCCCAAATTGTTGATAATTTTGTTGTTCTATTTTAGACATTGATGAGTGCACGAATTACCTTTGTACACCGTATTCCATTTGTAATAATACAATAGGGAGTTATACATGTACATGCAGAGAAGGATTCTACCAAGAAAATGACATATGTGAAGGTAAGACGATATTGTGCATGAGACGTATTGATAGATTTATCCGAAATGATTGCTTTCGGAGTGCAATTCTTAGTCAATCTTCAACAGCAACGATGAAAGTTATTAAATTCAAAAAGCAAAGGAACCATTAAATCGTTAGAAGAAAAAGGAAATTAAAAAAAGATTGAAAGAAACAGCCATCACTTTGCTATGGTCGTCTTTGATTCAGACGTTTTAGATCTTATCATAACATATCTTTTAGTTTTTAGTTTTCTATGTTGTGTTTTGTGTACTAGTGTTTGTCTGTTGGTCTGTTGGTCTTTTTGTTTTTTAGCCATGGCGTTGTCAGTTTATTTTCGACTTATGAGTTTGAATGTCCATTTGGTATCTTTCGCCTCTCTTTTAGAACTTTAGCTGAATTCTTGTAGTTGAAGTTGACCTATGACGGTTCGGGATGTGACTATGACAAACAGTGGATGCGTTTAAGGATAAAAACAATTGACAAATGTTTTAATTTGGCCATATTACCAGACTTTCCATGTTCGTTAATAGGATACATATTTAAATTTGTTGTTTTTTAATATCTTCCTCACGCATAGCTCTGATTTATTGTCTTGGTTTGGCTTTACTCTTGGTTCTTTTTGGTTTTATCAACTATTCATCGTTGGTTGTGAGGTTTTAGACTTTCAAATATTTTGGCCTCGAGCATCAATGAAGAGAAATTATTTGACGAATGCGTAAATATTATTGATTATTAATAAATTTTGCAGATGTGGATGAGTGTTTGACGGCAGATATATGCACAAGTAATTCTTCTTGTTTGAACACTGTCGGAAGTTACAAATGTATGTGCGATGAAGGCTTCAAGAAAACCAGTGTTGAGCTCTGTGAAGGTAAGGTTTTATATTAGTTTGTATTTCATTGAAGGAAAACCTCACAAAAGTCGTAAACTTATGGAACGATCAATCCATTAAGAGGATGACTTAAACATTTTCTTTATTCAAATGTTATATAAAATGATCACGAAAACAGAAAAAAACTTTCATATAACACTTTATAATTTTGTGAGTCCGAATAATGACTTCAACGAGTAGTGCATGTAGTATATGTTTTTGTCAAGGACATGACGAGAGCAAAATGTTACAAAAAGGGGGATGGATTGATTGAGTGTTGATGTTTAACGCTACTATCAGCAATATCAAGGAAAAACTAAACAAAAATCGAGAGGAGTGATAAGCAGGCTTCCCTGAAGAGTAAGTATTTTCCCCTACTAATAAACTCCGACATGTTGCTTATATATATAAAACTTTTCTTAATATACGTTGACGAAATCAATATAATATATTATTTATTTGCAGATATCAATGAGTGTTTAGACTACGCTTGTCCAAGTCATGCTTATTGCAACAATACCGTTGGCAGTTTTACCTGTACCTGTGAAGAAGGCTTCTATGAGTCTAGTGGCGCATGTCTAGGTATTTTAAAGATAAAATTAAGATAATCAATGGTTACTTGCAAATGTACATTTTATCTTTAAAAACAGTTTAACGACATTTAAGGGCATAAACCTGGGTTAAGGAAGATAACTCTTTAAAATCAGTTATTAGTTTGTAATAGTAAGTTTCATCCATGAACAGAATTTAAATAATGAACGTGTTACTTAGAAGCTAAGAGTAAATTGATGCATATAGTTGTCACAAATTTACCAGATATTTTCAAGATTTATTTAAGGAGTGACTAATATTTTTTCGGTCTATGAAGAAATAACATAAAAAATGTGGTGCACACTGAATAACCCGCGTAGCGTGTTATTTAAAATTATGCACCACATTTTTTAGATAATATTCGAATAGACAGAAAAAATAATACAGTCATTCCTTATAATTTTATTTTAAATTCCATTTTGAATAAGTAATTCATGACAGAACGTTGATGACGTCACGGTTACATGACACAATTATGTCTATGAACTGAAAGACAAAAAAACAAATCAGAAGACGTGTTACATCCAAAATTTAATTATATAGCTTTACCAAAGTCTCCTTCATTAAAGTAGCTGAACAGTTTTAAAACGTACCAGTATTTACCATTCTAAAAACCTGGACGAAAATGCAATGTTTAGATAAATATACTTAAATAAACTCATCATAGATACCAGGATTAGAATTGTGTACGCCAGACGGTCGTTTAGTCTACAAAAGACAGTTAGATGTCTAAATATTTTTGTGACAAATGATATTATAGTATTGTCAAAGAATATAGAAACTACTTATTACATAAACTTAAGGTCAATATGGAACGAATACCTAGTGTATGAACTTGAACCGTAATATCTTTCGCGTTTCCTCAGATTGTTTTTCTTTTCATTACTGCTTTTGTCTTTGTTATTGTGATTTTTTAATTTCTAGATATAAATGAATGTTCAGACCCAGAAGTCTGCCATAACCATTCCACATGTGTTAATATAGATGGTGGATTCTACTGTGTTTGTCATCAGGGATATCAAAAGATAGGTGGTGTATGTACAGGTGCGTAAATATTCATTCAAATGTATCCGCCTTATCATTTATAGTGATTAATATTGATTGATAAACCTAAATAATGTAGAAATATAAAAACATTAATCTGTTTATATAAAAGACAAAAAAATAATGTATTTCAGTTTTATGTACATCACTTCAGATATATGTATTATATGTATGAGAGATCTGTAAGCTTTATGTATTTAGAATACATTAACAGTTTATTTTTTTTTATTTTACAGACATAAATGAATGTTTGCAAGACGTGTGTCCTCCTGATTCAACTTGTAACAATACAGATGGAAGTTATATATGCACCTGCCATTCTGGATTTGTAAAATCTCAAGATTCATGTGAAGGTAAGTACATTCTTAAATTAGACAATTAAAACCTAGGTATCATTCATACTTAAAGAAGTTAAAATAGTTTATTATGCTATATAATATCACTGTATTAGCAGCCTTGTAGAATTAAGATAAAAGTTGTTCATGTGATTTTAAACTTATAGTATGTTGTCATGATTTCAATTGCCTGGTTTCAATGAAGCAAAGAATTGTAATGCCTTTCAGTTTGTAATGAATTGTATTTATACCTCTGTGCTAATAACAAAATAAGAAAAATAAGATGAGTAGTATTTACATTTTTGAATAACACATCCTTTGTTCTCAACTTTACATGGAGTTTGATATCTTTTTATCATAAAATACACTGACGATTGCAAGAACACCGATTGATGTTCACATATACGTGAGTGAACATAGAAACAAATAATTTTAACATACTAGAGTATTTAAACAAAACCAGAATGTTACCCGAATAAAATTTTTTTCGTTCACCTTTTATTTATCTATTCAATCTGATTAAGACTGACGTCGCATTTCCTTGCATAATAAAATACCTTTAATCATGACATGAAAAAATAGAAGATAATGGCATGCGATCTATTAATAGGAAACCGAAAAGGGATGTAGTTCAAGACATTATATATTATTAATTTTAAAACATTTCCTAATATGTTGCAGACATAAATGAATGTTTATATAGCCCATGTCCTATGAACTCTGTTTGCCACAACTTAAAGGGAAGTTATGGTTGTACCTGTAGAGATGGTTACCAGGAATCAAGTGGCGTTTGTATAGGTATATTTCATATTAGTGTATACAAAAAATGGCAATATTCGGGGAAAAAAATCACACTTAAAAAAGCATATATATTGAAAGTTAAGTTTTGTTTTATTGTTACCAGTTGGTGAAAAAAATAAATATACTAGTATTAATTAAATCCAATTTAAAATATAGGTAACATACTGAGATTTAAGTCGTTCAAATTATTGTTTTCAAGAAGCGTATTGGAAGTTCCAATTACTCTGTTTTGCTTATTTTATTGTCCCTTTTGATATTTTGCGAACATTCCAAAGTTATGACGACAAAACTGGGACTAATATAAACTAATAGTAGTTCCTCTTTATTGTTCAACTTCATTATACAGCTGTATCAGCACAAATGTTATTGGTTTTCTTTACAAATACAATACATATTAATCGATGTATGATAAAAGAGATTAATTAAAAAAAATTTCTCTAGTATGAAATAAGACTTTTACCACTTAGATGTTGTTAAAAAATAAAATAACAAAAATACCAAACTCTAAGGAAAATTCAAAATGGAAAATCCCTTATTAAATGGCAAAATCAAAAGCTCAAACAAATCAAACGAATGGAAAACAACTGTAATATTCCTGTCTTGGTACAGGCATTTACTTATGTAGAAAATGGTGATTTAAACCTGTCTACACACTCGATTTTGTATCAAATGTCACAAACGCAGAAAACAACATAATTTTAAATCAGGATGCAAAAAATATAACTATCGTAATACTTATTGATGTGAAAAAATACGCTATTTTATGAAAATATTACTATTTCATTATTATTGATAATATTGGAATTTAAAATGCGGTGAAACCTGAACTTATTGTTCAGGTATCACCGCATTTTGTCATTGTCTATCTCATTGGGTTTTTGTTAAATAACAGACGGAATAAAAATAATGCAATAGTCATAACCTACCCAAAATAAAGTTGACTTTCCCAAATTTCTTTGTACCCACTGATATCCAATCTAATGTATGGGTCTTTTTGTAGATGTCAATGAATGCAAGAACAACCCATGTCCTGAACATTCAAGTTGTTCGAACACTAATGGAAGTTTTACCTGTACGTGTCTGACTGGTTACATTAACACAGGAACAGAATGCCGCGGTGAGTTAACTTTCTTTTTCAAGGTGATATCATTATCTTAGAAAAAAGTATAAAAATGATAAAAAACCAAAATATCAATTATATTTTGAAAGTATTTTATTGGAAGTATATATTTTAAGTTTTAAACGTAGTGATTATTATGTTTTTATTTGATTGTAAATATATACCAATTTAATTACAGAAAATTATGAATATATTCTTACCTTAAAAACATTACATGTGTACGTGAAAATGTTTTTTCAGATGTTAATGAATGCTTATATGGAATCTGTCCGTCACAATCGAAATGTATTAACACGGATGGCAGTTATACTTGTAACTGTACTTCTGGTTATCAGATGATTGACAACCATTGCAAAGGTAAATTTTATTAAATAAATTTAATAAACTTGAGAAATAATGCACCAGAAAGCTATCACAAATATTTGAAAGCATTATATTATAACGTCATAGTTTTCCACCAATTTTTGTAGGGCTTCCTAAGTTATTGAAAACACTAAAAGAAGTAACTCTTTAATGATTCTCTGGTCATTATATCTGTCAAAAATAGGATGAAGGATTTAAGAAAGGCACATACATTACCAGTTAATATTAAATTCCACCTTATAATTTTGTTTAGTAAGATCTGTTTTTTAATCAAATGTCTGAGATTGTCACACTTTCACATTCGTTGTTTATTTCAGATTTAAATGAATGTCTGGCTTCTCCATGTTCAGATCATACAGAGTGTATCAATACGATTGGTAGCTATGCATGTAACTGTATAACAGGATTTCAGTTGCTTAATGGACAGTGTCAGGGTATTATGTTATTTTTATTTATAAGAAATGATTTCTGTCTCGCCTGCAACAAAAGTCGCAGAAAACAGGACATAGGGATTTCTTTTCCGGCGATGGCGACGGGGCGTCAACAATTGTTAAGTTTTATGCTTCAGTTTGTTTGAAAGGAACTACATGTAATATATCATTGAAATTTAATGTAAAGTTGCATACACCTTATTGCTATTTGTCCGCCATTACTGGACACCACACAAGTTCCCGTAAAATTTTGACGTCATAATAGAAAATGTCTAACGCCACTATGGAAAAGTGATTGTTGTATGACGTCAAAAGTTCGAGTGGGACAGATTCTCGGGTCAAGCGGGAATAGCGATAAGGTGTATTACTATCAGTACATATAAGCTTGACGACTATTTCGAGGCCCTGCCCGCTAGGTTATGTTCCAGTGACTTTAAATTAATTAGCAATTTTCAATGTTAATTTTTCTGCTTTAGTTAGTTTGATAGGATCTACTTGTGATGGATCAATGATATTTTCTTTAAAGTTGCATTACTATCTTTACATATCAGTTTGACGACTATTTTGGAGCACTGCCCCCTAGGTCATGGTCTAGTCACTTTGAATTAATTAGCAATTTTCAATGTTAAGTTTTCTGCTTAAGTTAGTTTGATAGGATCTACTTGTGATGGATCAATGATATTTTCTATAAAGCTGCATTACTATCTTTGAATATCAGTTTGACGACTATTTTGGGGCCCTGCCCCCTAGGTCATGGTCTAGTCACTTTGAATTAATTAGCAATTTTCAATGTTAAGTTTTCTGCTTAAGTCAGTTTGATAAGAACTGCATGTGATAGATCAATGATATTTTGTATAAAATTGCATTACCAGCGACTGAGTTAATAAACCATGTTGCTGTCCATATGATAGTGTTTTCTGAATTTCAGCCGACTGGCGAGACATATCTCTGTGTCAACGGTTTATTATGTATTGTATTACTACTACATGTTAGAATAATTCTGGAGGAATTTTTGTACAGTACTATAGATACAATGGTTTAGATGATGTCAACATGGTTTTGATATTAATAGTGAAAATATGAATACTTCAAAAAATAAGCTAGTATTCAAAGCATCTATCATAAGCATGAGTGTTCCATCTTTACTTGATACTTGGAGAGCGCTTTTCATCGTAAATACAATATGTGATAATTATACTTTTTGTTTATATGTAGAGTTTTTCAATTGTTGACAGTTTCTGAATCAGATTTCGATTTTTAACTTTGGAATATTTATAAATTCCATTTTTCGAGTGCTAATCGTTTGTATGTCATTGTATTACTAATTATCTTAAGGATATGATGGATTTGGCAATATAGTTAGTATAAAAATAAGACATTATGCAACTGCAAACTAGACAAATAGACACTAGATCTATTTAAACATTAAAATTTGACAGACATTGACGAATGTAAGGAGAGCCCTTGTCCATTGCACTCTAACTGTACCAACACAGAGGGAAACTATTGGTGTGGATGTCATGATGGATTCTATCAAGAGAATGATTTCACTTGTCTAGGTATGTATCTGTTTATTATAGTATTACCACAAACAATGACCATGCTACCGATATTCGACCACGATACAAGTACTAAAACAAAGTATTAACAAAAATACCAAACTACAATGTAAATGAAAAAAGGGGGAAGTCTATAAGCCTGACAAAATAAAACGCTCGACAATACCAACCAACCGAACGAATGGAAAACAATTGTCATATTACTGACTTGATACAGGTATTCTCCGAAGAAAATGGTGGGTAAAACCTAGTTTTTGTAGGTAGCTGAACCATCCACTTGTCAAATACGATGTCATCATCTGAGTAAATGTTTTATTTCTTAAAACTCTGAAAAATCCTGCAACAGTTTAATAAATGCATGACATCCAAGAATGTTATCATATATGTACTTGTTTCTAGTTAAGTAGTTAAGTAGGAATTGCTTACCTGTTCAGACCCCCAGTTTTGATGAGGTTTGTATTGTTTGATCTTAGTTGTCTGTTTGGTGTTTGTAGGACGGTTTTGTTTTCAATATTTTTCTTTTATTCTGATTTTATATATTCTACTACTGATTTTGAAATAGCAGGAGACGTCTACATACCTGGACTCGCTCATTTTGGAGTTGATGCGATGCCGTTAGTTTTTTTTTCTTTCCTTTTTTGTTACCTTGATTTGTTTCCCCTGAATTGAGTAACGAGATTTGAACATCGTAAACTACTGTCGCGTCAATTCATTTTTATTTCTTCGACTCAAGGTTTTTGGCACACTCGTATCTTTTCCCAATTGTAAAGAATGTTTTTTAAAACATTTTTCCACATAAACCATTACAGCATCATTACATTTCATGATTTTAAAATTATTTTCTAGTGAATCATGACAAAAATAAATCTTTTTTTAGAAGACAAGATTGTTTATTGACTTAATCATAAGCGTGCGTGTAACTATTTTGCACTTTAATCATAAAAATTCTTGAGGCAAAAACAATAAAAAGAAATGAAACAAAATAACACTTTCCTGCATTATAAAGAAGCACATTGATGCTGTTTCAAGATTTTCTGAGTTGCCGCTATTATTGAGAAGTTGCATAGAAGGCAAAATAGAACCACAAGTCTAAGAAAAGCGACAACGTACAGAAAACCGACGAAAACAAAAACAACGTCAATAAAACGTCATACAGAAAAGGAAAAATTGTATTACATAGATTATTGTTTTTTTTTGTTTTAGCCATGACGTTGTCACTTTATTTTCGACTTATGAGTTTGAAGGTCACTTTGATTTCTTTCGCCTATCTCTTATACTTAATATCGTAGATTATACGTATTCTGCATACAAGCCTATAGGTGTAATACCACCAAATCATAGTACGTCACATCCGGTTGCATACGAAAATAGGTCGAAAAAAAATATTCCCTTGAATTTGACAGTTGTAGGTAATTGATCCTACATTTCATTGCAGTAAAACATTTCTGGGTCATAAACATATATCTTGGGTATTTCAAAGCACCATTATTTTTTTATTTGGGGTTTCTATAGAATATTTTGGAAACTTGAGGTTACATGGTTACTAAAGCTTGTACACAGGTTAAAAAAGGGGGAAAATTTGATTGGTTAACTTCCAGTGATGGTTATTTTCTTATATGCAATGAAATGTTATGTGAAATTTTTTCTATAGTACTGGACAGGATCAAACTTTACTCATGCCAAGTATTTCTTTATTTGAAACAAAGATAAATTCTGCACAATTTTTTGAAAAGTGCAAATTTAACAAAGACTAATAGGGGAAAATCAATGGTGGTATTACACCTAATATGGGAAGCTGTACATGCACCTTTGACCTTGTGAGTACTCTCATGTGTTAAAATTTCTTGCTATTTAAGTGAAATATTACTAATAATGAAATATTCTGAGTGGATTGAGTCTCCAAAACACATTTTATGAGAAAATTTCCTTGAAATAGGACTTTACCATGAATATTAGTTGACAGAATAAGCCATACTTAGAGTTTGGGGAGCTTTTTCTCCTTTTTTCTTATATTCTGCTATACTAGAAAATTTTTCCTAAGAAATACTTTAATAAATATATAGTTTTAAGTAAATGAAGTTATTTTTAAAGCAGTAACAACAAATTATTCACCAAAAGAGAAGCTTTTTATGTCCCTCTCTGGAACGCGGCGTAAATTTAAGTTTTACGTAAGGACTTATTGAAACCTCCTTGGAGACAGTAAACTTTTATACGGATAGTTCATTCAGCTTGAATACTTCAATTAATCATTTATTATAACATTTCTATCATAAATGAGTGAAAGTTACCCCAAAATGTTTATTTATTGGCCTATAAAGTAGAAATTTTGAGGAAATGAGAGGTATAAATGGACCAAAAGAGACCTTATAAGGAAGACAAAGAGGTCCATTAGTAGTATTTATCATCCTAAAGTCATCTTTTGTATCATATTCAACTGTTTGTAGGCAGATGAGATAAATATTTGATCATTTATTGGTCCACACTATATTCTATCATGATGCGGCTTGGTTTGGATTTTTCGAAGAAATTTAGCTCGAATCGCTGTAGATGTCGTCTTACATTATACTAGATTTTTCTCAAACTATTGGACTGATTATGACAAAACTTGACAGGAATGCTTGAAATAACCAGTATTACAAAGGAAAAAAGTCACATTCAGTTTATTTAACAAAAAAGTCTTCTTTAGGTGTAATACCACCAAATCATAGTACGTCACATCCGGTTGCATACGAAAATAGGTCGAAAAAAAATATTCCCTTGAATTTGACAGTTGTAGGTAATTGATCCTACATTTCATTGCAGTAAAACATTTCTGGGTCATAAACATATATCTTGGGTATTTCAAAGCACCATTATTTTTTTATTTGGGGTTTCTATAGAATATTTTGGAAACTTGAGGTTACATGGTTACTAAAGCTTGTACACAGGTTAAAAAAGGGGGAAAATTTGATTGGTTAACTTCCAGTGATGGTTATTTTCTTATATGCAATGAAATGTTATGTGAAATTTTTTCTATAGTACTGGACAGGATCAAACTTTACTCATGCCAAGTATTTCTTTATTTGAAACAAAGATAAATTCTGCACAATTTTTTGAAAAGTGCAAATTTAACAAAGACTAATAGGGGAAAATCAATGGTGGTATTACACCTATAGAGGTTACAGGGTTTATAAAGTCGAAAAGATGCAGATAACTGGTTCTGTTTTCGAAAAACACATACGCACATAGGTAATTCATTTAGAGTAAAAACATATTGTCATCTATATACTGTCCTTTACATATTCGGCAATTTTAGCTTTTGATTACTTGATATTGATTTTCGTAGATCTACAAATATTTGAGTTGGGGATGAAGATCACGAAATTAAATGATAGTCAGGCTATATATACCTCTGATATGCAAAATACATCCTCACCTGTGTATCAGCAATTGTTGAAACAGTTACAAAATTCCGTAAGTTAATATGATATTTATAGATTAGATGTAGTAGTTACTGCAAACAGTTTTAGATAGAATAAGTTTAAACGATAAAATGTTCTTCTCTTGTGTTCCTTTAAGGTGGGTTGTTCAACTAAATGTAAATTTTAAACACAAAATTGTCTTTTTTAATGAAATTATTCTTAGGCGGAAACAATTATTATTGTTCGCATATAATAATAGTTCAATTTAGAAGAAATTCACTTCATAAACTTTTACCCACAGTTCACACAGCTAATGGAATCCAATTTTATGAACACAACATACAAAGACGTTGCAATTCATAGCATACTGCCTGGTAGTATTATAGTGGACATATATGTATACTACAAATTAACAACAAACGCTTCAGCAATGGATCTATATACAGCTGTCACTAACGGGGGCGGGGATTTTCTGGATTATGGGATTGAGTTCACAGCAGACAACTTGACGGTACAGGGTATGCATATTTTCAATATATTTGTACAGATAACAAAAGGTTTGATAGGTTTAACATTATTGATTGAACATTATTGGTTGAAAGTTTTGTATATGCTTGATAATACAATTAATTATCTAATTTCTCCCACAATTTTATATTAATATGTTTTGTAATTTTCATTGTTATTAATACATGTTATATCAGTATTACAAACCTAATCTTAAACTCTATCCTATTTTTTGGAAATTTATAAGTATGTAAAAGTATGAATTATTCTAAATACTAAGGATTTTCTTATCCAAGGCATATAACCTTAGCCGTATTTGGCACAACTTTTTGGAACTTTTGGTCCTCTATGCTCTTCAGGTTTGTACTTGTTTTGGCTTTCGAACTTTTTTGATATGAGCGTCACTGATGGGTCTTATGTAGACGAAACGCACGTCTGGCGTATTAAATTATAAGCCTGGTACCTTTTGATAGCTATTGTTTGTGTGTGTCTCTTTCCTGTATGTTCTCCCATTTATTTTTATGTAGTCCTGTCATGTAATTTTGTCATTTTAATGTTATATCTAACATTGCCATAAAAGCGGGAGGTTTGGCTAGCCACAAAACTAAGTTCAACCCACCATTTTTTCTTAAAATGTCCTGTACCAAGTCAGGAAAATGGCCATTGTTATATAATAGTTCGTTTCTGTGTGTGTTGCATTTTAGTGTTGAGTTTCTGTTGTGTCGTTGTTCTCCTCTTATATTTGATGTGTTTCCCTCAGTTTGAGTTTGTAACCCGGATTTGTTTTTTTTTTTTTAATCGATTTATGAATTTCGAATAGCGGTATACTACTGTTGCCTTTATTTATCTCTTACAAGACATATGGTAAAAGTTATTTAAAAAGTAATATACTAGAGACTGAAATATTCTCTTTGTGCAGCAACGAAACTGCTTGTAAAAACCGTGTCCTCGTGTGATTGTGACTCCTCTTCAGGTGTGATCGAAGTGAAGGGATTTAAAAGTCTAAATAAATCGGATTATGGAACTAATACTGAGTAACAGTAATCTTTTTACAACTTTAAATAATGCTTACATAATCAATTACACTCGTCTTTAATCAACTATGTGTATGTTTTTGGCCAATTCCGATAACAAGATAAAAGTTGGGTGATCGTTATTTTTCTATAAATATTTCAAAGAGAAAATTAATCATTAAACAATTATAGCAAAAGTGAAATCAATTATACATATGACAGTATCAAATAGAGACAAATTGTTCACCTGCAGATGATCAACCTTTCTTTGCAACAACATTACAAAAATTTTGTCATTGCACAAGGTTATGTTTTTCTCTGACTGTTAATGACGTCTTTGTACTAAACCCGTTGTATGTTGTATGTGTACTGATTCATATTTTAGCCTTAGATACATGAATATTTATTTGTTGTTATTTGCTTTGAACTAGCTGTCAGTATCTGCGAGTACTCTCAGATCTTTATTTTGTGTTTTTTGTTTGTTTTACGGGATGTATAAATACCCTGCCACGTCTGGTCTTTGTCTTTCTGCTTTGTATCCATCTGATGAGTTAAGCTTTTTTCAACTGATTTGAATATATTGTTTTTATGTTATACTTCAAACTTGTTTTTATGTTGTCCTTCAAACTTGTTTAAACTCACCTCATTCTTTATGTGTCAATCTTAAGTCAGGAGCCTGTAGTTCAGGGGTTGTCGTTGGTTCATGTCTGTCATTTATGTTTTTCGTTAATTATTTTGTTATAAGTTAGGCCGTTAGTTTCTTAATTGAAAATGCATATTTACTTTGTTATTTCAGATATCAATGAATGCGAAAGTTCTCTGTGGAACGACTGTGACGTGAATGCAGACTGTATGAATTATGAGGGCCGTTATAATTGTACCTGTAAAACAGGGTATTTGGATATATCAGTTGAAAAAAGTCGGCCTGGACGTTTATGTGGAAGTAAGAACAATTAGCTGAATGTACTAGGAAGTCATATTTTCCATTACATTTTATTAAGTCTATCGCAAACTATAAAGATAATAAAAAGAATATTTTTTTCGTAATGTACAACATAAACATATAAAAGGAGAAATATCTATCACTTTATTACTTCTATTTTGAAACTACAGCTTAATTCACCAGGCTTTGTTTCATAGTAGTTAGGCAACATATTAGAATTTGCAATTGTATCACATTTTATTTCATTTTAAAATTTGTACTTCAATATAAAAGTTTTTTAAACACACAGACAGGAAAACAGTTAGATAAATGATTTTTTCTATTATCCGGGATAAGTAGAACTACATGTATTTGCAAATCTGTAAAAAGGGGGTCAGTTTCCTAGTTTGTAAGTAAATAAAAGGGAAGAATTCTAAAAAATGACGGTGTAAGTACTCACATTTATATTCCAACAAATCTACTTTTTTTTAAGTTACAGTAAACAAACCAAAATGGCGATTTAAACTGTCTTTATAAAATGCATTCTAAATTCACCAACCAGGAAAATTTATTTCAACAAACATTTATTGTACATGTCCGTTCATTGATTAAGTTCTAAAAATAGACACGTTTTTTTTTTTAAATTTCAGTAATTGATAATATCAATGTCGATCCCATCAGTGATGTGAAGCTTGCCTGTGATAAGCAATATTACAAACTATCAGACATAGTTACATGTACAGTAACGATAACAAGAGGATCAGATGTATCATATAACGTTGATTTTGGTGACGGAACAAGTTCCAGCTATACTGATCCAGAGATGTTGTCATTCATGTCACCATGGACATTTTCTCATCAGTAAGATATCTTATTTCTATATTTTCCTCTCAAAAAGACAATTGGGCTATTTAACTTTTTGTCCCCCGCGTAACGCGTTGCGGGGGACATGGGAATTCCGGGCGTCCGACCGTCCGTCCTTGCGTCCATGTGTCCGTCTGTCCGTCCGTCCGTCGGGTTTTGTTAGCGATCTCACAGGTACAATTCTTGCCAGATTTTTATAAAACTTATACTATAGGTTAATATCAGCAATATCTCGGACAAGTTTTATAATGGTGGTCGATCTACTTTTTTTAAAAGAGTTATGGCCCTTGGAAATATTAAATTTATGGAAAATGGCCTCGTTAGCGCTCTCATGGTACAATTCTTGCCAGATTTTTATAAAACTTATACTATAGGTTAATATCAGCAGTATCTCGGACAAGTTCTATAATGGTGGATGATCGACTTTTTTAAAAGAGTTATGCCCCTTGGAAATATAAAATATGTGCAACGCGGGGGACATTTGAACTCTGTTCTTTTATTATATCAATAATAAAGTTGGTGTTGTTTGAATAACGAAATCATTTGTTTAAGTAGTGAAGTTACTATTAGTATGTTGAATAGAACTTAAACTATTATATTCTTTTTTTTTAAATTTGAGTGACTTGAAGAATCTGTTAAAAATACTTAAAGGGGCACTAGTAGTCAAATTCATGTTCACCGATTTGACTCAAATTCTCATATTTGATTTATAACAATGTAAAACATTTATCAAAATTATTAAAAGTCTAAAATAAACAACTTACAAGACATGGGCCCGATAATATGTAGCTTCGTTTTGTGTGTATTTAGTCTAGACGCCATCTAATTAACTATCGAGTTGACCTCCGAAAACCTCCGATGGTCATATAAGGGATATAAACATAAATTTAGATATAAATAGATTAAGCGAACTCGTGCAATTGGATTTTTCTAGGTCTACTTAGTTTCATGTTATAGATTAAAAATACATGTTAATCATGGTTTTTATCTGTATAAGAATGTTTTTTGTGGATCGAATCTGTCAATCAAATGATATACCTTTGTTTCACTTTCAATGTTGACATTTTTTTCCTTTAAATAACTGATCACACACGATGCATGCATTATCCATCTCTAGCTAAGGGGTTAAATTGAAGTTCACATGAATACGGATTCAATGAGGTCGAATTATTCACTTGCAAGTGAATAATTCATCATCAATGTTTCTTAGCTTATTTTGACAAAATTGAACCATACTTGCTGCTAAAAGCTATTTATTATTCCATTATTTCACTTTCATTAATGATTGAACAAAAAAATCATACTTTAGATTTTTTATTTTTCTCGTAGCTAGTGCCCCTTTAAGATAGTAACTACATAATGCTATCTGGAAAGACAGGTGATTCAACTATAACTGAGGCTTACAAATTTCTTTAAAAATTTAATGAATAAACTAACAACAACTTCCAACCATCTGACATGAAATAAAACATATTCAATCATTAATAAGACCAACTTAAACCATAATCTGTATAAAAATATGGAGATGTGGTATGATTGCCAATGAGACAACTATCCACCAAAGTTCAATTGAAGTGGATGTAAGCAATTATAGGCAACCGTACGGCCTTCAACGATGAGAAAAACCCATACCGTATGGTCGGCTATAAAAGGCCCCGAAATTAAAAATATGAAACAATTCAATTGAGAAAACTAACGGCCTAATTTATAACAAAACAATTTACGAAAAACAAAAATGACAGACATGAACCAACGACAACAACTGAACTACAGGCTCCTGACTTGGGACAGGCACGTAAAGAATGTGGAGGGGTTAAACATGTTTGTGAGCGCTCAACCTTTCCCCTAACCTGGGAAAGTGGTGTAACAGTACAACATAAGAACAAACTATAAAAATCAGTTGAAAAAGGCTTAATTCATCAGATGGATACAAATAGAAATACATATAACAAAAACACAGAGTGGACGTGGACAGGTAATTATACATCCCAGCAACAAAAAGACTATAAATACAGATCTGAGAGTACTCGCAGTTACTGACAACTAGTTCAAAGCCAATAACAACGAAAAAAAAATCATGTACGTAAGACTGTGTTTGTTTCTACAAAGGAATTAAACACGTATGAAAATGGTGTTTTCAAGTCACAGCTAAATTATCGTAAATACACAACAAAATATGGGAGATAAACAGGTTTGGGTTGCACGAACTAAAATAAAGTTGCTGAGATCGTGGTCATGCGTCATTTGTCTAAATACTCTAAAGTGAATTACAGCAAAAAGTAAAATCACAAAACAAGAACTCTGAGGAAAATTCCAAAAGGAAAGTCCCTAATCAAATGGCAAAATCAAAAGCTCAAACACATCAAACGAATGGATAACAACTTTCATATTCCTGACTTGGTACAGGCATTTTCTTATGTAGATAATGGTGGATTGAGCAAAAGAGTAAGTCAAAATTTATGCTATATTTTCTACTTTCTGTTTTTAAGATATACGAATGAAGGGAATATTACTATAACGGTTAATACATCAAATGCCGTCAGTCATGTTCAAACCAGTACATATCTCATCATACAGAAAGTAGTTGCTGGCTTAATTCTGAACACAACACAGCTTGATCCAGTGTATTCTGGATACTTAATGATTGACATCATTTCTGCAGAATATAGCTACAGTAATTTACTCCTCCAGATAAACTTTGGTGATGGTGAAATCTTAAACCAGTTTGTTTCAGAATTTCAACAAGTATCGGATTCTCATTATTATGACGTTGGAACATACATTTTAAAAGTAAATATATCTAATCGTGTGAGTATTCAGATAATAGAGGCCAACTTTACTGTGGATGAAGTTGTCCATGATCTAACTGTGACAGCAAACTCGTATGCAGTTATACCAAACAGTGATGTGCTTCTTACCATACGGACTAGTAATGGATCAAATTTAAATTTTGACATATTTGTTAACGATGAAAATTATGACACCGTATACATTAGAAATGAGAAACGTGGAATAACATTATTTTATCACACAATATCAATAAACGAAGTTGGGATATACAATGTGTCTGTTGAAGCTTCAAATAATATTTCTTCTGAGACGTTTACCATGAACGACCAGGTGTACGTCGAAAATGTGGTGCAGGATATGATTTTATCTACAGTTCCTGTAATTGCTAATCCACCTGGAGACATAATTCTAACAGTGGATTACAATGGAATTATAAATCCACCATCTCACGTGAAATGCAATGTTACGTTTGGAAACATATCTACGGATATATTTTACGTAAATCAGATGCAAGTTGGTAAATCGGAACAGTTCAACATTAAATATGATAATGCCAGCTTCATTGGGGAAGTCAAGATAGATATGAACTGTTTAAACAAAATAAGTCACATGTCACTTACCACATGGACTTCTCTACAACAACCGATTTCCGGTATATCTATTTACCACACCACACCGTACATTCCATCCGGAAATTCTATAGATTTCATGTTTAACATTGAAAGCGGAAGTAAAGTAAAATACAACTATTCTATAGGAGATGGTACAGTTTATTCGGATAATATAAATCGAGACTTTGTTAGTAATTTTCAAATAAATAAAACTCAAACTTATTTTCAAAAAGGAAAATATCAAATAACATTCCATGCTAGCAATATTGTATCTCAAAAGTATGCAGAAGCGTATGTTTGGGTGTTAGAAGCTGTGACAGGACTGAAAATTACAAAATACTTTTATTTGTCGGATTACAGCTCTGACGTAAGTTTCGGTTATGGGGACGAGGAAAATATTTATCCAACTGAACGAGATATAATATTTGATGCCTCAACCGTGAGCGGAAACTATATTAAATATGTGTGGGACTTGGGAAATAACGTTGTAAGGGAAACTGAAAATCCTACCTTGACATATCAATTTGTAAATGGCGGGAATTTTAAAATTGTTGTAAACGCCAGTAATCAACTGTCGCACATTACTAGAACGTTCAATATGTCCATTTACCAGACTGTCCTGATTTCTACATTAAGTAACAACGGACCTACAAATGCATTTGAAACTACTACTTTTACTCTTCAATTAAGTCAACCTGGTACAGAATCTTGCTATAAATGGGACTTGGGTGATAATTCACCAATTGTTTTGTATGGTGAGAAGAACTGTGAAGATATCGCAGCGTCATTGAATTACAAATACATGTACTGGCAACCGTCGTCAAGTCTTATTCATACGCATATGTATCGTAAAAATTCAACCTATCATGTCATACTCACAGGTTCTAATCTTATTTCATCTAAAAGTATATCATCAATGGCCATAATAAGTGGAATAAGTTGTTTTTATCCGGTTGTTCATATAAACGGAGGTGGACAAGATATTGATGAACCAGAAGTCATCCAAAAATCACAAAGGATAACACTAGAAAGTTCTGCAGAAGTTAATTGTAAAGTTTCCCAGACGGTTTCATATCTTTGGAATATTTACAAAATTAGCCAAGGAGAAACCTATCAAGATTATATATTTGAAAACTACAAGATAGACGATTCTGTCGAATTGAATAACTTGAATTTAGTTTTCATACCAAGAATACTACCGACTGGACAATACAGAATTAATTTAAATGTTTCAATGACTGAAATATATGGATTGTCAGCTGAAGACTTCACCTACTTAGAAATTATACCAACTCCACTCAAGGTTAAAATAAGCGGTGGCAACGCTAGAGTTGTTGGTTATAATCAAATGCTGGTTATGAATGCAGGAGAACAATCATTTGATCCAGATATTGATGACCCCAACAACAAGACAGGAATGAGATTTATATGGAAATGCCGACAGTCTACAAACGTATACGAAGAAACAATTTCGCAGATTGATATTCCTGAATGGGATATATATGTCAACATGTCTAGACAGGATGGTTGTTTCGGAACAGGAATTGGCATTCTGCCATTTCACGAGTCACAACTAAAAATAAGTACTTTGTATTTAGAACCAAATACAGAGAATGTGTTTGAAGTAGAAGTGTATAAAGATGACAGAGTGGGTTCGTTTGAACAGTTAGTTTATGTTGTTGAGGGAGATCCACCAACGCTTATTATTAAGTAAGTTTTTTTTTTTATTTTATTACTTGGTTTCAATGCATCAATATAATTATGATATGTATTGTTGATAAGATAGCAGAATAACAAATTTCATTTAGTAAACAGGATAATATTTAAAAGTGGTTATTCTTTTAGCCATTTGGTGATTGCTTAGGATTAAATGAATAAAAAATTAAGCATTATTGGATAGAAATTATTTGTCAAAATGCACACTTTGATAATCAGAATACGTTCCCCTTGATGTTACTCACTGTATATGATCCTTAAGAAAAATTCAATGTGAAAAAGCAGTTCTGCAGAAATGATCAACGGTTTTGTTCAATAAATTACAATGAAACATTTATAAAGACAAACACTGCAAGACTACAAGTTCACAAAAGAGGATAGTCACAAACATATTGCAGATGCATAATATAATGTAAACTTGAAATAAGACGGATTTGGCTGTTCTATTTATTCCTTTTTGTTTTTTTATTATCCCAAACGTTTAATATTTTACGTATAGAAACTATAAACAACTCATTTTAATGTTAAGAATTTTTATCCAACTCCCAGGGAATTCTCTTAGTATTCTTTTTATACTTTGCAGTTGTCATGTAAATTGCAAATCAAAGATGAATCCGTCTGGTGAATTCACTTTATCGGTCACGTGCGCTGAATGTACTAACTACGATAAAGAGGAGTACAAATGGAGCCTTTATCTGAAGAATGAGACCTTAGGAGGTTTTTATCCTGTCAAGAACCTAGATGGTCTGACCGAAGCAGGTACACCTATAGACAATATATACATATGAAACTGTGACCTGTAGTTGTTTTAAGTACCTTGCATCCAATTACTTGTTTTAATCATGCAAGCTATTTAACATGTTTAAGACAAATTCATTTTTACAATAGTATGATTTCTGTTTTGACAAAACTTTTATATTTTTGCAGTTACTATCGAAATTTGAATTTGGCTATTTGTTTTAGGTATTTTTGTCATATAGCTCTTCAACTATTTCTATACTTATACATCCCTCGGATTTCAAATGTTTGGCATTGAGCGTTCCTGATGAAGGTAAATCCAGAAAAGCTCTTCGGACGCATGAAATTATTAAACGTGTTGTTTTCAATTTTTTGAATTCTTGATATTTTTTAGACTATTCATTTCAGTTAGAGTCTAAATTAATCTTCGCTTTCAAATGATCGGTGTAGACAATTACTGAAATAAACAAATTTGCTGCAGAAATTGAATTTGTCAAAATAAACACCTTATTACGATTTTATACTATTATGACATTTTTTTTATCAATTTATTTTTAAATGCTTAAATCAGTGGAGATAACTCAGACAATTTTGTTTAATAAAAGAATTTACAGTACATTTACCTAACTATACTTTTGCAAAATATTATGAAATTGTATCATTTTTAATTTAGAATCCCCCTCTACTTAAATTAAGTCTTAACTCTTCTCAAATCGATTGTCAAGTTTGATCATGATTATTTTTTATTTTCAGGGACATCCTCTCAGGCGATAAAAATTAAACAGGGATCCCTCATTGGAGGAGAGATATATCGATTTAGAATAGATGGCAAAGTGTATGGTTACGCTCCTAGCTTTACCGAATATGAATTTATAACCAATCTGCCACCATATGGAGGAACTTGCAACATTGATCCAATATCAGGTATAAATAAACATTAAAAACTTGCGTATTATCATTTAATTTAATACTTTTATCATTTGTATAACTATTATTATTATCATTTGTATCATTATTGTTATTATTATTTTTATTATCATATAATTTAATTTCGGATGTAACGCGTCTTCCGATTGGCTGACGTTGTTTTGTTTATCAGCACATAGACATAATTTTGTCATGTGACCTTGACGTCATCAACGTTTTTTCATGATTTACTCCGGTTTAAAATGGAATTAAAAATTAAATTATAAGAAATGACTTTAATATTTTTTCTGTCTATTCGAAATAACATAAAAAATGTGGTGCACACTTTAAAATAACCCGCTACGCCGGTTATTCAGTGTGCAGCACATTTTTGATGTTATTTCTTCATAGACAGAAAAAATATTACAGTCATTCCTTAATTGTATTATTATTATTATTATTAGTATTATTATTATTAGTAATAATATCAAAAATTTGTTTTCAATTATGATTTGATATGTCATTTTATTTTATTTCCTATTACTAACATTTATTAACATTTTTGAAAAATCTTGTGATGTCTCTTATAAAACAGTGTCGGTGAATCTTTAAATGTATTTTCAGGTTTCGCACTAGAAACGGAGTTTGAAATACGTTGTAGCGGGTGGCTTAACCCTGGAGAAGAGGCTATACAAGGACGTGGTTTGTTATACAGATTTTGGTCTCGTCCGCAGGGATCTTTTGATACGCAGCTTTTGTATTACGGAAAAGATTCCTTCACCCCTAAAAGCAAATTTTCTCTTGGACCTGTAGACAATGATTTCTTTCATGATGTTGTAGTTAGAATTTCCAATCCTATCGGAGAATTTGTAGAGACATATCTTAAAGTGAAGGTATGAACACTAATGTTAATTAACTTTAAATTTATATGCATGAATAAGTTTTTGCCCATGAATTCAATTTTGATTGTGACGTCATTGAAATATAATTAAAAACACATCAGACAAATAGAAGTCCAATATATCATGTATATTATGATATTCATAGTAGGCATGGTAGGTGTTCATTTCAAAACAAATACTTATTCTGTATTGGCTGCAACTTTATATAATTCCAATGAATTTATATGTATAATCAACCCAAAAAATCGAATATTAGCTTCACCAACCTAACTGATCAATACTATTTTTACCAATTTTTCATGCACTTGCGGCAAACGGTAATTTAAAAATGATTGCAAATTTTATCTGTTTACCCTTCCGGAGCACCTGAGATCACCCCCAGTTTTTGGTGGGGTTCGTGTTGCTTAGTCTTTGGTTTTCTATGTTGTGTCATCTGTACTATTATTTGTCTGTTTGTCTTTTTATTTTTGGCCATGTCGTTGTCAGTTTGTTTTCGATCTATGAGTTTGACTGTCCCTCTGGTATCTTTCGTCCCTCTTTTATCATTTGTTTGAAAAAGTAGTTAACATGTACTAGTAAACATAAATAGTTAAAAGAAATATGAAACTAAAAATTATTATTCTACGACAAATACTAATTATTGAAGTTTAATAAATATTTCATGAGACATCTATTTTAAAATCGACATCATTATATGCAAGTTTCCTTTTTATGACGCACCATTGGTTTCACATGGGATAATACTGCTTTCACATCACTACACTATTCTGCTGAAGTTGTGTTAAAAGCCAGGATGTATACATACGTAGAAAAGTTAGAAGCTAGATAAGCAACAACAAAAAAGACATAATAAGAATAGCCCCAACTGTGCTTGAGGAAGTTTAAATTAGTAGTAACAGATGTATTTTAATTCAAAGATAATATCAGAATTGAGTGCAGCATTTTATTCGAAATGAAAGCAGCTGACGAATCACATTTTGCACAAAAAAACAGTATTATTAAATTCTGTTTTGCAAGCCTTCATTCCTGTATCTCTAGACAAGATGTGAGTGAATTAGATGGACGGTAAAAGACAACAACTACAAAACAAATAGACAAAACCCTAAGCTTAGACCGATTCAAAAACAGCACCCATTATGTTTCTTACAAAAATGAGTTAGGTGTACTTGTGACATGGTTATTATAGAAATCTCACTTTTTCATAGAAATCAATCATTTGAAGGTATAACAATCCGTCTAGGAAAAAACACAGCAATATACATAATAGGTAGAGCCGACGGCAAACATGCAACAACATGTAAAACAGTACTACATGTACATATACTGAACGAGACTGCTCACAAATAACTTACAGTATGGTCGAAGTATCCTTTCTTTTGTCTATGAAGTCACTTATATTGACGATGTAATAAATTGTATTTACGTTTACCTTTTCATTTTGTTAGGTAAATGAACCCATGGAAGACGATGTATCGGACCTTCTTACTCTTACTAGTGGAGAATCTAATCAATTAAGCACACTGCTGTCATCCGGTAAAGCACAGGAAGCTAAGCAACTTGTAGTAGCTGTGGCATCACTGATCAATTATTCACCCGTACTGGTAAACAATTACTTGATAATGAACACCTTTAAAGTCCAAAATATTAAGTGAACCAAGAAAATGTATTAGGAAACAATATAAATTTATATGAGAAGTTGTTCATCTTTTATGAATTATACTATCATAGATTTATATTAATATTTACCTTTGAATTGAAGGAACAAAATTATCTTGAATTTTTAAAAATAATCTGATGTTGAAATTCATTTGTATAAAACTTTCCCTATTCAATTTTAATGGCCAATTGTACTAATATACTGTTTGTACTTATAAACCACATGCGTTCTAAATATCCCTAGTACTCTTTTCTGTTCCAAATGTCACATTAGTTTTTCATCCATCGCTTTATGTACGCATGTTTAGTTTAAACACGCAAAATCTTTAAAGATGTCAATAGAGAAGGACGGCTACTCATGTCCCATCTAAAACTCTAGTCTGTTGGCATCTATATTTTCTTGTATTTATTTGAAACTTGATTCTCTAGATAGGAGTTTCAAGAGCTTCACTTTTACAAATGATAACAGCTCCAAATACGCCGCCATCGACAGATGGTAGTACAACAAATGGTTGGTCGGACCAAACTACAACATTGTTACCAGGGGACACGTCTATCGATCCCGGTAGTACTATTGATCCAGAAGAGGCAGAGAGATTAAGACAAGAACAGGCCGCTGAAGAAAAGAAGTTAAGGACCGAGGTAATATCATTTCTATTATTATTGAAAAAGTATCAGGTTGTTTACTTGACGATATACAGGCTATATAAATTTAAATGCATAGTAAACTGGTTTTATGCATTCATATAAGAAACTTTTATGCTGTGTCATAATAAGAAGTCAGTCAACAAAAAGTAAAATCACAAAAATACTGAACTCCGAGGAAAATTCAAAAAGGAAAGTCCCCAATCAAATGGCAAAATCAAAAGTTCAAACACATCAAACGAATGGATAACAACTGTCATATTCCTGACTTGGTACAGGCATTTTCTTATGTAGAAAATGGTGGATTGAACCTGGTTTTAAAGCTAGCTAAACCTCTCACTTGTATGACAGTCGCATCAAATTCCATTATATTGACAATGATGTGTGAACAAAACAAACAAAAACAATAGGTAAAAATGTCACAAATAGGGGTAAATAATCTAATTCAGTAGGTCTCATTCGTGAAAAGGGAACGGGATTGTAGTTACGACATAAGGAACATATTCGATATCATCTGTGAAACGGATATTCCATAACGGTCAACCAACTCGTGATGGCGTCCGTAAAATTTACAAAGTGATGATTTCAACTTCACCATTTGGAACTCTTGGTTTAAAAATGAAAATTCACAATTGGGAAGCTGCAATCATCTCTTTTGTCGTAAATTTTGTTTTCAACCGACCCTCATAGTCAATTTCTAGATATAAGTCATAATAAAATGGCAAAAAAATCAAAAGCTCAAACACATCAAACAAGTGACACGTGTCTTTTAAGGGTGTTATCTCTTTTCTTAAACAACATTGAAGAATATGTAATATAATATTAAATAATGGTAAATTATTACAGCTTCGAACGTCTGTTATCAAAACGTTATCATTGGAAACAGAAAGCCCAACCCTGGACTCCCTGCAACAAACAGCTATGGCTTTTCGTGTAATTACTCACGAGAGTACAGAGATATCGGAGGAATCACAGGTAACAAAAAATTAGATAACAGGCTAATATCATGTCATGTCTTACCATCCAATCATGAAAACGAAATATTCATATCACTTGCTAAAATCTATTGCTAATTTTAAAAAAATCCCCCTAAAGCACATATACTACTATGCCTTTTAAAACCCACCCCTTTTCAATGAAACAGCGCGTGAAATGTTTATTTTTGCAATTGAGCTGTTATTGTATCTTCTATTGTCCTCAGTGTCTTTATGAAACTCCCTTACTAAGGCAAGATAAATAAATCAAATAATAGTTTTGAAACTTTTCTTTTGTTTGGCATTAACATTTCGTTTTCATGAACTTATTAGCTACTAATGCTTCTATTCAAACAACTATTTCAAAGGGTGTTGCAGTTAATGCAATAGGGAAAATGGCAGACACGTTCCAGTTAATGGTGGATTCCGAACAAACAGAAGCACAGGGTCAAAAATACAGTACGGCTGAAGGTACCTACACTTTAGTCATTTTATATTATACTACTTATGGTTTATTTGATGATCTTATAATACTTTTAGATACTTTTATGTCATCATTGCTCATGCTGCTCTTGCTTACGACAAACTTTAAGCATTTCTGTACCTTTATTAATAATGCTTATTTTCTCTGATGTGTTGTTACTGATTATTCCATTACATTTGCTTTCAACCCCTAGGGGCATAAATGTGCATTTCTTAATAAACTAAACTATGTTGTTGATTGACGATTAATATAATGTCGGTATTGAATAAAATGATTTGAAGGTGTCAAATATAAGCTGGTGTGCTAAACCTTTAGTTGTGGAGTCCTATATTGAAACAAAATTATTTTAAATATTTTTGGACAAAAAAGGAAATTGAAATTTTTTTTTCGATTTTTATGTATTAATTGGTTATTCAGTAATTTGTTGTGCAATTGTTCTCATTTATTTACTATGTGAAATGTGTTAAAGGTCTATAATGAGTTGTGGGGTACAAAGAAACATTTTTGATAAATAGGACAATTTAATTTTGACAATTTTCACTAGATTTGAAATTTCATTTTCTTAGATATGATTGCAACACTAGGAAGTATAGTCATTGCCGCTACAGGAGAGGAAATTATGAATATCTTTAAACAGAATATACTGGAATCTTCTGGTATCGACACAGAATTTACTATTGAACAGTTTACACAGGCGACAGAACCAAATACTACAGAATCATCCTCAACTATTATAGCGGAGCAAAAGAAGGCAAAGGTATAAACATTGATTGTAATTTTTTAAGGTATGAATCTATCTTGATCTTCTTGGAAAATTTTGGCTAAAAAAGCTATCGTTGAAATTTTTAAAGAAAATTGGTCTATTGATATGTGATAAATTAAAAATCTCAAATCCAACGGTAAATTTTATGAATAGTGTAAGTAATTTTAGTATATAATACACAATATTTGGCTTTTCCAACACCGCTATCTCTATTTTCGATTGTTAAATTAAAGTAAACAAAAACAGTGAAATACACTGATGTTTTATATGTATTTTCGATACTTTTATTTAACACATATACAGAATTTTTTTTGGCGCAAACGGATCGAATTGTTTTAGTTATGTTGTTACATGAAAGATTGAAAACCGTTATTCAATTCATGAAACAAATATTGTAATAATTCATGGAAATTTTATATGGCAATACCAACTAATTTTGCAATGAGTTTTTTTTTGTTTCCGTTGATAAAAATGTTCGTGGATTAAAAAAGTACTTCGTGGATTTTTACCAAATCTACATATCACCCTATTAGGTTTTTTTAATATTTCATCTTAAACCCTTAAATTCGTAATTTATCTGTATGCATGATATCCACGAATAAGATTACCCCACGAATGTTGATAGTTCCACAGTACTTATTTCCCTATTTTCATTTTTAAAGGTTAAAGAAATCGCATCAAAAGTTTTGAGTGTAGCTGACACAATATACCAGTCTGTTATAAAGAACCAGGCAACAGATGAACCACCAGTTGTACTTCAATCTCCACTACTAACAGTTCTGGCACAACGTAGTTCTATATCCAAAATTAATAACTCCAATGTCGACGCTGTCGGAGGATCGTTCAAAATGCCTTCATCAGATTCACTTCTATTAAACATGGAAAATTCAACATACGTCGATGTTAAGGTTGGACATTTCGCAAAATTAAAATATTCCTATAAGAGACATCAAAATTTGAAGGTCAACTACATAAGCTATTTAAAAAATAAACCTATCTTGTTTTGCAAGAAAACATGCATGAATAGTATATATCATCAACAAGGGTTAGATTAAGGGAATAAAAAGGAGATGTAAGGTATCCATCATTAAGACAGTAACCAATCACTACAAAAGATGTCAAATCTTAAATGTCTGTTTAAAGTCAGGAATATGGCAGCTGTTTTTCACTTGTTCCATTGATTGAAAGCGTTTGATTTTGTCAGTTTTTATGGCCTACTTTTTGGAGTTTGGTATTTTTGTTATACTTTTTAATCGCCACGACTTTATAAAATAATGACTAAATTTAATGAACATATATACGTTATATACTAAATTTTTCAGGGACAAAACATGAGCCTGCATTTTAACAATGCGATATTTTATTAAAGTCAAGGATTTATTTTAAACATGAGAATGAAAACATAACTATGTTTTATGCTATCTCTTATAAGTGTATGAATAGTAATTCAACAATTTACATTCTGTTCTCTAGCTGACATGTCAGTAACTGTTAGAAGTCCTTTGTTGATTTATGTTGATCATTGTCATTTTGCTTAGTTTCTTCTGTTACCTATTCTAACATCGGACTCGCACTTTTTTTTAGTTTTACAGTGCGTATTGCTGTGTGTTTGTTTATTCCACATTGGCTAAAGGTATAGGGGAGGGTTGAGATCTCACAAAACAGGTTAATACCCCGCCGCATTTTTGCAGTTGTCCCAAGTCAGGAGCCTCTGGCCTTTGTTAGTTGTGTAAGTTTTTTTTTTAATTTTGGTTCATTTATATATTTCGGAGTTTAGTGTGACGTCCATTTTCTCTGAACTAGTATACATTTTTGTTTAGGGGCCAGCTAAAAGCCGACTCCGGGTGCGGATTTTCTTGCTGTGTGAAAGGCCCATTGATGGCATTGAGCTGTTTTCTGGTCTTTGGTCGAGTTATTGTCTCTTTGACACATTCCCCGTTTCCATTCTCAATTTTATGATATATCGCAATCATTTAAAACTCACAAGATAAAAACAGTTTTATTTTGTAGTATTGCAAATCATATTGCATTATATGTAAACTTGATCATGTATATATCTAAATTTCAGGTGCTAAGTTCGCAAACAAACCCTTATATATGGGATACTACAGCTAAATACATCAATAGCGCCATTGTGACCATGGACATATATGGAGACGAAGGACAACTGATAAATGTTACAAATCTTCAGGAGGATATTGTCGTTGATATTTTGGTAGATTCTTCAGCACTAAGTATACAGACTTTTAGTCTAGATGTTGATAATTCAGATAGTTTGTTTTTTCATTCTTTTAGCGTTCGTTCTAATGATAGTGTTCTTAGTATTTTGATCGAACCAGGTGAAATCAACAGGAAATTGGAAGTATTTGTGAAATTTGGAGATTTCCCCTCTGTGAATGATCATGACTGGAATATAACAATCCCCCATTTAGTTACTGAGACGTTAGGAGATTTAGATTTGTTTGAGGAATTGTCTCACAGAGTGTTCTTGTCACAGGAATATGTACGACAAAATGGAGAAGGTATATACTTCATTGGAATCAGAGGAGAAGGTATGACTATAAGGCTGTTACTGAATTTCCATATTTTTGTGTTTATTTTATTCTTTTTCTGCAGGTTATTCGTTTTTCCGTTTTTCGCGAATTAACATAATTTGTTTTGTTGTGGATATTTAATTTCTTGGTTTTGATAAAATTATGTAATTTTGTATTTTCTTGAACTTGTATAACTATGAAATCAACGAAAATTTGTATCAAAAAGGGTTACCAAAGACTAAGATTACTTTGTATCACATGGATAATATGAAAAAGATGTATAGGAAGGTTGAATCTGATGCATCATCAATCGTGTGTTTGCTACCACTCTCGTTATTCCCTTGAGAAATCATCATTTCAATCTAATATTCAGAAAGATGAAACAAACCAATAAGTATATGACTTAGCAGCAGACGATTGCTGTAACGTACGTCATAGAAGGCGGGATATGGTTCGGAACACAACAAAAAAGAAATATAAGTATGATTGAGCCAATATTTCAATATTTAAAAATTTATTTTTCAGTGAATATAACGGAAGAAGATGTATACGAAGATTATTATGAATATTCGCTAGAAACAGAAGAACCAGTAATTGTTAACTACACCCTAAGTTCTGTAACGTCGGGTTGCTATTATTGGAGTGATATGCAGGATAAATGGACGACCTATAACTGTTCTGTACGTTCTTATATATATCAGTAAATATGCTAATGTTGCTCATCTGGACTTTTTCAGGAAATTCTTCAATAATGATATGACTATACGATGGATCAAGGTGGTCTCAAGATTTAACTGTCAGCGGCTACTTCGATATTGCGTTATTGTTTGGTTTAGTGTCAATCATAGTTTATATTTTCGTGACTTGTTTAAAGTTTAAGTATATCGTATTAATTTTCACAACATCCAGGTTTGACAGATGTAAGTTAAGATCTTTGACGGGTTTTGATTCATTATGATTTTATGTGTTAAAATTTAACGAATGAAATCAAAGGGATATTCAAAATTAATAAGTCGAAGAGAAAAATGACACCTACAAGACAAACAAGTCCATAAAGATTTTTTTCTATGGTACTATTTTTCGCACATTATGACAACCTGAATACAATAAAGGAAACAGTAGTATACCGCTGTTCAAAAGTCGTAAATCGATTGAGAGAAAACAAATCCGGGTTACAAACTAAAACCGAGGGAAACAAATCAACTATAAGAGGAAAAAAACAAAATAACAGAACACAGAAGTGCAAAAAAACAAAACAAACAACAATGCAACATTCATAGAAACGAATTATTAAATAACAACTGCCATATTCCTGACTTCGTACAGGACATTTTAAGAAAAAATGTTGGGTTGAACCTGGTTTTGTGGCTAGCCAAACCTCCGCGCTTTATGGCAATGTTAAATATACCGCTAAAATGACAACATTACATGATTACATGACGAAAACAGAGTACAAATAAATGCAAAAACACCAAAGACAGAGAAATACATAAATAAATAATATAATAGTACATTTCGACATGTTAACCAATAGAATTACGAAGTGTGTGTTTGTAACACGAATGGATCAACGCCACAAAAAGTAACGTCACAGGTAAATTTCTAAAAAATGGATATAAATCAAGATTAGGTTTCTAATTATTTTATTTGATGTATTTTATAACAATTACAAGAATATTCATATAAAATTGTGTTAGTAATAGTGCAACTAACTATGTCGGCCTTCCTTCCAAATCATTCTGCGTAAAACAAACGTTAGTCTTTTACGAATAATTAATTTATAAAATATATATTCATACATTTATCTTTTGGCAGGTCAGTCCATTATCAAACACCAACTTTACCAGATGTCTTTGTAACCATCTAACGTCATTTGGTGTTGACTTCTTTGTTCCTCCAAATGAAATAGACTTTAAGTCCGTCTTCAACAACTTAGACCAGAAACTTAAGGATAACTGGGCTGTTTTGGCAACACTGTGTGGATTTATATTGATGTATATTGTGGGTATCATATGGACCAGATACCAGGATAAGAAAGATATCATTAAGGTACTCAGTTTAAATTTGCTAAGATAGTATACATTAATTATCCAATGTGTAATACGGAAAAATACAGAAAAAAATAAGGGTAAGAAGCTTCTACTTATGGCAAGTGCAAGTTCGAAGAACAGTAACATTCGTTATTATCCACGACACAGATATTTCCGTTGTTAAAATGCTATTGTGAAAATATGGACATATTTAAAATGTTCTGTTAACGTTAATCTTGTATTATGCCCCTATGTATTACTTACATAGTAAGATGGTTCATATACCTCTATATCCTCTTTGTTGATGCTTAAAACTTGTGACAAAATATTCAAATTAATTTGATTTTTTAAGTGGGGAGTTTCACCTCTGATGGACAATATTGTTCAAGACAACTACTGCTACCAAATAACAGTGTGTACAGGAATGAGGCGAGGGGCAGGAACCAGGTCACATGTCAATTTTATTCTGGCTGGTGATTTGAAGGATACAGGTGTGAGACAACTAGAAGATGAAAAACAAATAAAGGTGAATACTTGGAAAAGCAAATGCAAATGATATGAATTTGCTAAGATAAAAAATTATATGCATGATGAAGCATTTTTTATTGATACTTAATGTAGGTTTGATCAACCATTACGTTAAGCAATTTTGTCTGAATGATTTGTCCAATGGTTCATATTAAAATAAATCTAACTTGGATGTTGGATGTGTACTGATTGATATTTTAGTCTTAGATACATGATTTTTTTTATTAGTTGTTATTGGCTGAACTAGTTGTCAGTAACTGCGAGTACTGTCAGATCTGTACTTAGTGTCTTTTTTGTTGTAAGGGATGAAGGATGAATAAATACCCTGCCACGTCCGGTCTGTGTTTTTGTTTGATGTTTTTCTGCTTTATATCGATCTGATTAGTTAAGTCTTTTAACTGATTTTTTATAGTTTGTTCTCATGTTGTGCTGTTATACCACTGTACAAGGTTATGGGAAGGGTTGAGCGCTCACAAACATGTTTAACCCCGCAACATTCTTTATGTGCCTGTCCCAAGCCAGGAGCCTGTAGTTCATTGGTTGTCGTTTGTTCATGTCGGTCATATTTGTTTTTCGTAAATTGTTTTGTTATAAATTAGGCCTTTTATAGCCGACTATACGGTATGAGTTTTCTCATTGTTGAAGGCCGTACGGTTGCCTATAATTACTAACATCCACTTCAGTTTAACTTTGGTGGTTATTTGTCTCATTGACAATCATACCACATCTCCTTGTTTTTATATTGGGAACTGTACTGCTAAAATTAAGTAGCACATATATTTACATGACTGTGATTATATAGAAAATAGGCCAGCTAGTTTTACAAAGAAAAGCTCATCAAATTGATTAATCGCCTGTTAAACAGGTGGACACATTAATTTGGTCTGTACATTATATTTCAATAGGTAATACAATAACTTTGTTTCTTATGCCAAGCTTTAATAAAATGTTTATTTTTTAAATTGTTTCAGACTTTATCCAGAGGAAGCATAAATCATTACATAATGAGTGTCCCAGAATGGCTAGGGCCTCTGACCTATATTAGGATGTGGCATGATAATACGGGGAAGGGGAGAAATCAGGGATGGTATCTTAATAAAATAATTATCACTGACCTACAAACAAGGGAAACGTAAGTAATAATATATTTGAATAACCTCAGAAGTTTAAACAACAAAACACCAAGAATATACTAGTAGTTTTTTAATGAAGTAGTATACATTATGATTTGTCCATTCTCAAAAGCAATCGTGATTCCAATATTTTAGCTTTGCAAACTTTATACCTAAAGTTAACAAAGTTCCTGGTAACTGGAAAAAGATCTACAAAAACAGTCGCCATGCTTTAAATAGCATAACGTTACGTGTTTTAGTCCGTTTAATATATAATTATCTAAAATGCGCAACATTCCCATAATTACGTCCATTCAGATATATATCAGTCAAGAACATATGTCCGCTATACACAGAGATGGTGACGACACTAAGCAATCAACCAAAAAAATAACCAAACAATGAGACAAAAAGAAGTAAAGTAATGGATGTTCCTTTCTTTGCAGGTTTTTCTTTCTGTGTAACAAATGGTTTGCCGTAGAAGAAGATGATGGTATGGTTGATAGGTTGATACCAGTAGCAGGATCACAAGATCTCACAAGCTTTCAAAACGTCTTTATGACAAAGACAAGGAAAAATTTCAGTGATTCACATCTGTGGATATCTATTTTCTCAAGGCCACAGAGAAGTAGTTTTACACGAACACAAAGACTCTCGTGTATTCTATCGTTAGTTTTCACCACTATGGTGGCAAATGCTATGTTTTATCAAGCTGAGGAAAAAGTTGCAAATGTTGAGTCATTTAAATTAGGACCCCTTGAGTTTACATTACATGGGTTATACATAAGCGTTGTATGTAGTTTTATTGTGCTTCCTATAAATATTTTAATTGACTTAATATTCCGAAAATCACGTCCAAAGGAAACAAAGATTACAAATGCATTCATGGGAAATATTAAACCATTGAGAACACTGTCAGAAATTAGATTGAAAACAAGACATTTTAAGTCTGATGATATGTCTATAAAAGAGGTATCAAACTTTGATATTGTACCAGAGGAAGAATCAGTACATAGAAATTGCCTAGATGGTGAAGAAAAGAAATCTATTACTCAAGAGGCATCGAACGAGCATCATCAAACAATGAAACGCAAAGAAAAATTTAAATTACCTCATTGGTGTGTTTACATTGGTTGGGTGTTAGTTTTTATATCTGCTGGAGTTTCATCGTTCTTTACGTTTCTATACAGTATGGAATGGGGTAAAGAAAAATCCTTAAACTGGTTATCATCTATGATTCTTTCAATATTTGAATCGGTTACAGTCATACAGCCAACCAAGGTAAGTTCTAGTATTTTAATTGCATTGATTAAGTAATCTATTGTCAAATAATCATAGAGTCTCCGTTGTAATGTTGTCTTGACTTATATCTTGTCTTTCGATAGATTATCGTCATTGCTGTACTAATTGCTGCATTACTGCGCAAACCGGATATTGAAGATGAAACAGACTTTGATGAGGATTCATCTAATCATCCAAAACCAGATGAGGAATTGCTTCATTCCTCACCAAAACGTGGTAAGTCCTGAATAATATGTATGCAAACAAAGGGTTCTATTCTTAGCAATAATATCACATTAAATGTTTTAATTAAGATTAGTACTTTAGTTGCAATTTAAAAATATTCGATGATTTTGGCTATAATTTTCTTTTGGTCCCTTTGCTCATATAGCTCTTCCTGTATTTCAACATACCCGACCTTAACATGTTTGGTTTAAAGCGTTCTTGATGAAGCGTAATCAAGAAAAGCGTTTCAAACACACCAAATTCATAAAGTATAATATTAATTTGAAAACAAACATACCTTCCACTGCAATGATATCTTAAATATAACATGAATATTTGAAAAGCTCTTTTACCAAAAATACAAATCAAGGACCGTTTATCAGTTTTTAAATGATTTTCAATTTTGCAGAAATGCGACCATCTTTACACATTGAACCACCAGACCCTGAAGAAGTTGCAAAAGCAAGAGAAATAAGGTTAAAAGAGATGAAAATGCACGCTGCATTGAGGGAAATTGTATTTTATTTTTTGTTTCTGACGTTGATGATATTGGTAGCAAATCATAACAGAGATACCAGATCATTTAATGTAAAAGATGCAATTGTTCAAATGTTAACAGTGGAACAAAACTTAACCAAGGTTTGTTAGTTAATGCTCTCAGAGATATTTTATCATATTTTATTAAAATGATATCTATCCTGAAATGGTTAGGACCAACGTGTAATATAAAATAAGAAGATATGTTATGATTGCCAATGAGGCAACTATCCGCCAGAAATAGGTTTGTTTTCAATATCTATTGTGACAAAATTATTCGAACAATCCGAAATGAGTACATTTAGGGGTTTGGATAATATGTAACACACCATTAAATTTCTGCATTATTGTTGAAACATAATTTGAAGCAGACTTGGAGTGCACTTTCCTAAAACCTAAGGACACATTGGAAGCACATTTAATGCATTTCACACTTAACTATAGGTTTATTTAATCAATGCAATACTTCTTACTTGCTTATCACAACATTCCTACAAAATGTAGTAAGCAAGGATTTACTGAATGGATCATTCCTGTCAACATGTAAGTAAAGAGGGAGTAAAGTGCATGGAAAAATGTATAGAATGAAATTGGTTTCACGGTCGGTGAACGAAATTTTTATTTTTAAAAGTTCTATCTTTTTGCACGATACATGGTAATAACGGCCTTTCTATACGAAACATAGTAAAGTGATCTTCTGTAAATTGATCATTTACGAAAGTTGATGTTTTTGATTTTTTGTGTATCATATTCCAGAATATGCATTATCAGTTCTAGAAAATATTAAATTTTCTGCAGTTTTGACCTGAAATAATCTTTCTTGTATATTTCCAGATCCACAAAACAGAGGACATATGGAAATGGATAAAGTTGGAATTACTGCCAAATCTCTATGTTTCTAAGCATTGGAATGGCGATCCGTTGGGCTCTCTCGGGGACAGGATTGTTTCAACATTACAGTCGTATAGAGTTGGTCCAATAAGAATAAGACAAGAACGAGTTAGGCCTGGTAAAACTATCTTTAGTGATACTTATGTTATTGCTACTTCCAAACGTTCTTTTGTTTTAAGTTACGTCTAGCGTCTAAATATGTATGGAACACCCAACGCACCAAACTCTAGGGTTTATCAATAACAAGATTGTGAAAAGTATACACTAATGTTTCTTGGTGTTTATGTGTACTAGAAATTTGTCAGTAGTAAATCTTACTAGATTAGGGAAGACGCTATGAACATTTTATCAATTCAATCCAAAATTATTCACAGTTTTATGGGATTATTAAATATGAATTGTGATCACTGTTAATTGTACAGCTAAAAAATAGTTCCTTATGGTTTTGAAATTGCATACTAGTAAATGACTGGATGAAAATAGAAAAACAACAAAAGATCAGCAAATGTTCCTCAAAGTCTTATTTTAACGAAATACTTACTTATAGAGGTAAAATGAATCGGCAAAATTATTGGAAAAAATCAAATCATTTCTCACAATTGCTCTTTTCATGTTCACACATTGATTGACCAGTAGTGTTTTATTTTTCTCAGTTTATTTAAGACATTTTACCATTTCTTGGATCTCAGGTTACATGAATCTCATATCAATACCGATTTTTTTTTGCATGGCGGGCGATGCATGCATATGAGATGCTTAACATGCCCTCTGTGTTTGTTTGTTACCTTGATTTGTCTCTTCCTAATCGATTTACGAGAATAGAACATTGGTAAAGTACTATTGCCTTAATTCATTATGTTCTATAGTTTGACGCTTGCTATTTGAATCGTTATGTAAAGCTTCCTAAACACGTGCACAGCTAATTGATTGAAAATGCCTAAAAGAATTGCCAAATCCAAAATTCAAATAACGCAAGTCTAGCCAAGTACCACACAATGATAACTCGGACAATTCTTCAAAAAATATTTGCGTGTTGATGAGTACACTTTCCAAATACATAAAATGGTTTGTTATCTTTTATAGTCTTTTGTAGACGGAACGCGTGTCTGGCGTACACAATTTTAATACTGGAATATATGATGAGTTTTAGTATTTCGTGATATGAAAAAAAAATGTAGCAGAATATATCAAACGATAACAAAACAAACAATATTCAATATTGCAGTCCTAAGTATGAAATCGTCCAAATTATAATTGCATATTGTTATTCTAAACTGTTTCCCAAAATTGATCGCCTTGAAGATCATAAAAAAACATTTTATTAAAATCAAATATGTCAATAAAGGTTTTGATTTGTAAATATTTGCCGGTATTTTTAATGATCATTCTGTTAAAGAACAAATCCCTGGCTATTTTGATAATACTGAACTCCCTCTTATTTGTTATGTTTACACAAAATCTACCCGGAAATATGTATTTAATTATAGCGAAGTGGGTAAAGATGTTAATATCAGTGACAATACACCTACGTCATGAAATTGCAGTAATTCCGAATACATTTATGGCCCCATTTCCCATGTTATAACAGGAGACCTTAATATCGTTCATGACCGAGAGTTGAAATCTTTCCTCAGTATAAGACCTAAATATCGTCCCCCATCAATTATTAATTGGAATGATTGTCGTAACATCATCCACGACTCACTCCTTACTTACTGCGTGAAATGGATGAAACGAGAAAAAGCTGACAAAAAATCCTTAGATTCTTTTTTTTTAATTCAGTAATGAACATAGTTGATATTCGTATTAAACATTTAAAAGAACATTTTACTCCCAACAACAACCATAATAGCCTTATTTCTCGTATCAAACATAAGCTAAAAGAACTCGCCACGGAATTTGTTTTTGTCCCGGCTGATAAGGCTGCTAATAATATTATTGTTTGACGTAAATTTTACATTGTGGTTCTGCAAAAGGAAATCACGAATTCATCAACATTCAAACTGACTCCATTTTCGGAAAATGACATATGTAACAAACATAAACTTTTAGCTACTTCTTTACAAGCAGAACCAAATACAATGAAAGTTCCAACTATGTACTTGCTTCCGAAGCTGCACACAACACCTTACAAATATAGATTTATTTCGTCTTCAAGCCATTGTTCCACTTCTAAACTGTCTATTCTACTTACTAGTTCACTTGATACAATAAAAAACCTGGTAATACATTGTGCAAATAGGGCCTTTGAAAATAGTGGAAATAATTACTTTTAGAGTGTTTAAAAATTCGTTGGAAGTACTTAATAAATTGCATGCTTATATTGGTGATTTCGAATCTGTTCAAAGTTTTGATTTTTCTACCCAATATACCACTTTGCCACATAATCTCATTAAGAAAAATTCACACACCTAATTAAATGGGCATTTAAAAAGTCAAAATGCGAATATATATGTTCTTACTCTTTTAGGGTTGGGGTTACTCTTTTAGGTCATTTTTAGTAACAACAGACAAAAGAACTATGTCAATTGGACCTGCTTTGATACGATTACTGCCCTTGAAATTTTACTGGATAACATTTTTGTTCGCTATGGAGATTCCGTATATCGTCAAGTTATCGGAATTCCCATGGGAACTAACTGTGCACCACTTATTTCGGACCTGTTTCTGTATTGTTATGAGTTACAACTTATGACTCAAATCAGCAAAGACCCATCAAAACAACATCTGATACAAAAATTTAATAACACTTCTAGATATTTGGATGATATATTGGCTCTCAATAATGACGACTTCAGTATGTACACTAAAGAGATTTATCCTGCTGAACTGACTTTAAATAAAGCTAATACAAACAATGAACACTGCCCATTCCTGGATCTTGATATCTATATCTTTAACGGGAAGCTTAAGGATGTTCGCTACTTTGTTTCAAAATAACAAGCTTTTTAAAAGTCTGTTATAAATTGATAGTATATAAATAAAGGAACTAAAATAGCAGAAAAAAATGAAGGGTCCGTGTGCTTGTTTTCGAGATATAAGCCATTGAAAATTTGGCGGGAAATAACTCTCTCTAGACTTTTCATACATTTAACATTGGCACCCTTTTTCTTTAAAAAAAATATGAAAAAATAACAAGGATTTTATAGCATTTTCAAATATGGCTATTTAAACTATATGTTATAAAACTATGAAAAGAAAAATAGGTGTTAGCGGGCAAATTTTTTATTGGAACTAACATGGATAAAACTAGAGGATTCCGAATATCTGACAAAAAGTCAAAAACAAGAGTAGCGAACATCCTTAATACCAAAATTTATGATAAAAGAGATGATTTTTCATTTCCTATTGTTAATTATTCATTTTTAGATTGTGACGTTCCCTATCACCATCTTATGGTGTTTATATATCTGAACTTGTTCGATTCGCTCGTGTATGTAACAACGTATTAGATTTTAACGAAAGAAACCTCTGTATTACTGAAAAATTATTACATCAAGGTTTTCGATATCACAAACTAGTCAAAACATTTAGTAAATCTTATCAACGGTACAAGGACATCATTCGTAAATATAAATCAACATGCAGACATCTTATACGTTCAGGTATTTCACATCCAATCTTTTATGGTGATATTCTATACAAAGCACAAAAATGTCGACATTCACATCAAAAGCTAACCAAACCTTTAAACAGACTTATTCAGAAGGGGTATAGTTACGATACTGTTGTCAGGTCATTAAAGATGGCATTTTTTGGAATTAATATTGATTCACATATAGTGTCTAAACACATTTATTCTAAAACCAGTTGTTGGCATGATACGGGTTATGTTCTACTCATATATTTTATGATGGTATGATACTAAACTCCTAACGGGAGGAATTGTGCTTGACTTTCATATGATGAGGACATAATCTTTCAATCAGTTTAATTGAGGTCTGGAACTGGCATGTCAGTAACTGTTAGTAGTCCTTTCCTTTGTTAATTAATGTATCATTGTCATTGGTTACCTATTCTGACACCGGACTCGGACTTCTTTTAAACAGAGTTTTACTGTGCGTATTGCTGTGTGTTTGTTTATTCTACATTGGCTAGAGGTATAGGGGGAGGGTTGAAATCTCACAAAACATGTTTAATCCAGCCGCATTTTTGCGCCTGTCCCAAATCAGGAACCTCTGGCCTTTGTAAGTCTTGTATGTTTTTTTAATATTAGTTCATTTATATGTTTTGGAGTTTAGTGTGACGTCCATTTTCATTGAACTAGTACACATTTTTGTTTAGGGGCCAGCTGAAGGCCGGCTCCGGATGCGGGATTTTCTCGCTGTGTTGATGACCCATTGTGGCCTTCGGCTGTTTTCTGCTCTTTGGTCGGGTTGTTGTATCTTTGACACATTCCCCATTTCCATTCTCTATTTTAATATAAATTCTATTTTTCGTTGCAGAATCTTGTAATATTCCATTTGTTATTCATTCTGTTCTGGGTGTCTGCAGTCTGGATTGGTCAACCGATGTAGGAGATGAAAAAACTTATAGTAAAGGCTGGTTAGCACTGTCAATGGGAGTTACGTACGATAATGTACCAAATTATCCTTGGAAATATCGAGGTCTCATGGAAAATGAAGGCATTCCATTTAAGGGTAGTTTTGGTACTTATCCTGGAGGAGGTTATGTCGCAGATTTAATTGGAAAATACGATCGCGTTAAACAAACGGTAGAGGAATTAGAAAAATATCATTGGATAGATAGATATTCGAGAGGAATATTTGTCGAATTTACTTTATATAATCCAAACGTCAATATGTTTTCCAACATATTTATATCATTTGAACAGAGTACTTCTGGAAAAATGATGCCAGAATTTTTCTTGAAAACATTTCGTTTATTTTCCTATATTGGTGGCTACGGACTATTTGTTGTGGCATGTGAAATTTTGACTGTAATATTTATTGTTTATTATCTTGTACGTGAAATAAGACAAATACGAAACCAAGGCCGACAGTATTTCAAAAGTTTTTGGAACATTTTGGAACTAAGTAACCTGTTGTTAGCCATTATAAGTATAGCCATGTATACAATGAGACATGCCATTACCACCCTGGCATTAAGAAGCGTGACGAAATTAAGAGGTAATCCAGTATTAACATTTAAAATCTATTCCGTTTTTTGTACGAATTCAAATTTTGTACAGATTTTTATGTACTTTCTTTTGTCGTTTCATCATTTCTACAATTATGTCGTATATTTCATTTGTATTCACTTATTTTTTAGTTTTTAGACATTTTGTATGAAATATAGGAAATCAGGACACGCGGTTAAAACCTTTATAAATCAACAATGAATAAAAATAGAAAATATAATTCATTCAACGATGCTTATGGACTCATAGAATGTGATTGCCCGGCTTATATCAATTCGTAATATTGACTAATTTTACCAGCCAGCTATTACAGGCACACGCTTGTAAACTATAGCCATTATATCTGAGTAGTTTTCAATTAAAATCTTCGATTCGAGGTTTAGTCTTCATTTATTTGATACAATAAGAAGATTTGTTTTTGTCAACAATGCTGCTAACAGTATTTTTACGATTTCTCTTTTCAGATAGATTTTATAACTTCCAAAGACTAGCTATGTGGGATGAGATATTTGGATATCTCGTAGCTTTCACAATTTTTGTGTGCATAATTAAACTTTTACACATGTTTCGATTTAACCGTAAGATGTCTATGCTTGCGGGTGTCATTAAGAACTCAGCAAATGAGCTTGCTGCTTTCTCGGTAGCATTAACAGTTTTTATGCTTGGCTATGCTATATGGGGCTACATGATGTTTGGACCAAAGTTAGCTTCATATCGGACTATGTTGGACTCTTTAGAGACTTTATTGGCATTTGCTTTGGGAAGTTACGATTACAGATCATTGGAAGAAGTAAACAGAGTATTTGGTCCGATGTTTTTCTTTGCATTCTTTTTTTCTGTGATGTTTTTGCTGATCAACATTTTTGTTGCTATATTAAACGAATCTATAGCAGCCATCAAAAAAGATGTTTCAAAACAAAGCAACGAATATGAACTTGTTTCTTTTGTTTGGAACAGATTTATAGCATGGACAGGAATAAACTTCAACAGAATACTCCAAAATATGAAATTAAAATATTTCTTAAGTAAGTATTAAACCTTTTGCATAGTTTTATATATTGGATGTCATTGTAGCCTCGCATTATCTATATGATAGTTATTTACTTTTGATTTATCTGGGATTTTATAAAACAAGAATAACATTTTTATCTTTATTTGTCATAATGACCCATCCTTAAAGTCATATGAAACGGGTTTCTGGTATATTTAATGTTAAGAACATTATTGAACTAATCAATGCCTATATACTAAATTAAGTCATGTGTGCACTTTATTTTACATTTATTCGAATTAAAAACGTGTTATCGACAAATATATTTAATTAGGTGATTGTTGATCGAAAGTTTATGTACAAATAACTTTCGAGTTTTCTTGCTGAAGTTTATTGAATCATGACCTTGATAAACAATCAACACAGAAGCATGGAGTACGTGAAAAATAAGTGAGACGATAGGGAGATGTTAAGTTGTTTCTTTAAATACATTGTCCATGCGTTCCCATTTGTTTATTAAACATTGTCGTTACAGTTGTTAATTGATTAGGTGTATTTAAAAGATTTCTTTCTGAATCGGTTAATACTAAATTTCTTTCACGATTGTTTACTTTTCTTTCTTTATGTTTTTTCTCGTCGCACTTGCGCTGTGATTGACGGATTTATAGTGAAAGGTGTCATGGTTCAGGTCACTGCATACGGAAAACCTTTCGGGGCATAAGAGTTCTGAAGATTTTGATAAAATAAAGGATGATCTTTTAAAAGAAAGTATATGTTCATGTGTTTTGTAGTAATCTAAACATATATCTAAAATATATTCAATCGTTTTTTTTAAATTTGAAGTATCATATGACCTGAATAGTAAAACACTTTTTTTAAGTAATATTGTAAAATAGGTTTTGATTATTTAAAGGGTTACTAGTTGTACATTGTTATAAATTATTTTTATCGTCAATATAATTTGTATTTTACGTTGATAATAATTTTACAGAATATGTACATCTTATACGTTCATGTATTTCACATCCAATGTTTTATAATGGTAATATTCTATACAAAGCACACAAATGTCGACATTCACCTCTAAAGCTAACCAAACCTTTAAACATACTTATTCAGAAAGGATATAGTTACGATACTGTTTTCAGGTTATTAAAGATGGCATATTTTGGTAATAATATTGATTCACTCATAGGGTCCTTACATCGGAAATAAACACATTTATCTCTAAAACCAGTTTTTGGTATGATACGGGTTATGTTCTTCCCATATATTTTATGATGGTATGATACTAAACCCCTAACGGGAGGGATTGTGCTTGATTTTCATAGGATGAAGACATAATCTTTCAATCAGTTTAATTGAGGTCTGGAGCTGGCATGTTAGTAACTACTAGTAGTCCTTTGTTAATTAATGTATCATTGTCATTTTGCTTAGTTTCTTTTGATAACTATTCTGACATCGGACTCAGACTTCTTTTAAACTGAGTTTTACTGTGCGTATTGCTGTGTGTTTGTTCATTCTACATTGGCTAGAGGTATAGGGGGAGGTTTGAGATCTCACAAAACATGTTTAACCCCGCCGCATTTTTGCGCCTGTCCCAAGTCAGGAACCCCTGGCCCTTGTAAGTCTTGTATTTTTTTTAAAATTTTAGTTCATTTATATGTTTTGGAGTTTAGTGTGACGTCCATTTTCATTGAACTTTTCTCGCTGCGTTGAAGACCCATTTGTGGCCTTTGGCTGTTTTCTGCTCTTTGGTCGGGTTGTTGTCTCTTTAACACATTCCCCATTGCCATTCTCAATTTTATTCAACAACCATTCCCATCCCGCAAAAAAAATTTATTACATTTCTTTAGCACCTCGTTCCGTCACTATTACTTTGATTTGGATTTTCGAAAGAAACTTTGCATACATTCCTCGTCAACACAAAAAGTGAGTTTTTTCCTATTATTGTATTATTTAATTGTAAGTAATTCACGAGTCGGTGAAAGTATAATTAAACAAAAATCAAAATATATCTAAATATTTTTTGTCGAGAAATATTTTTCAGATATATACCTATTTAGCTAATGTGACGTTATTTTATATTGTAGGTGATGAAGACATCAAAGAACTAGGAGAATCTGTTGACAACATCGAGGATAAGTTGGATGATATATTTGTACGGCTTGACAACTTAGCAGCTGCATGCACTAAAACTGAAAATTCGTTTGGAGAGAGTAGTGGTCTACAACCTCCTGTCTTTTCCCACCTTTTTCCTGGGTCATTTAAAAAACCGATCACGTTTAAACAAGAGAATTCAATACAACATCCTGTTTTCAAAACAGAAAAATGGTATGCACCAGATGCTTCAAAATGTTAAATTTTGCATCTAATACAAATCGAAAATTACCAGAAATAGAAGTCATCAAAACATGGAATGTGCATTGAGCTTTTTCTTTCAACGACGATTGTGTATCAATCCACAGAATTCAGTTTTGTTAACGTATGTTAAAGTAAATATGTGTGCTGTATGCATAATAAATGCAACAAATGTTCTATACGCATAAGAGTGATATGTATTTCATACAAGAACTTGAATGCAAATATAAATCTTTTGGGTCCTCAAACATATGACTTGTTAGTTAGAAATAAAAAAATGTTATGTTTTAGTTATGTTATTACTTCCCTTCTATTCTTCAAAAAATATACATTTAATGATATACATAACAATCAATGCTATGCTATTTTATGATGGAAATATGTCCGTACAAAGGTAAATGGAAATAACACTGACAAATTTAGTGCGTTCGAACGCTTTTCTAGATTTACTTTCATCAGCTTAGCCAAAGGAATTGGAATCTTATTTAATTAACAATTTATCAAGGAGGAATTTTATAATAGTCAGTATAAACCATGGCTTGCCGATGCACAGAATGATAAGCTGATGATTAATAATTTGTGAATTCAGTGAAAGTAACATGTTGTTCATGTAAGATTTAATTGAAATGAGCTTACTATTTACACCACTGGGTCGATGCCACTGCTGTTGGACGTTTCGTCCCCGAGGGTATCACCAGCCTGGTAGTCAGCACTTCGGTGTTGACATGAATATCAATAATATGGTCATTTTTATAAATTTCCTGTTACAAAACTTTGAATTTTTCGAAAAAAACTAAGGATTTTCTTATCCCAGGAATAGACTACCTTAGCCGTATTTGGCACAACTTTTTTGGAATTTTGGGTGCTCAATGCTCTTCAACTTTTAACTTGTTTGGCTTTATAACATTTTTGATCTGAGCGTCACTGATGAGTCTTATGTAGACGAAACGCGCGTCTGGCGTATTAAATTATAATCCTGGTACCTTTGATAACTATTTACGTTCATTGAAATTATTTGAAATCTACCATATCAATTTTCACGGTTTAATTTTAGAAATTGGTAAATTTATTTTGCTGTACAAATTTGAGTCCTTACATCAACATGGCATGAATTTAACTTAAAATAGTTTTAAATCAATAAATGTGACATGCACATTCAGTTAACCCCTATAAGATGTGGAAAACGCCCGTGTATTACTGATGACTTGTGTATTGATTAAGTTTACAACCATTCCACATATCAAGTCAAACAAAGTGACTTTCTACCTTCGTTTATAACAAGAAGGAAATGAAGTTCGATAACCAATGTGACAACTAAACATTAAGACGAAAAAAGTGAACAATTACAGGTCACCGTACGGCCTTCATCGGAGAAAAAACTCATACTGTATAGTAAGCTATAAAAGGCACACAGTATGACAAAATGAGAAACAATTCAAACGAGAAAACGAACGACCTGATTTATACAATAGTAATGAACGAAAAACAGATATAGCAGCCAACAACAATCACTGTATTTCATGTTCCCTCGATTTTAGTTTGTAACCCGGATTTGTTTTCTCTCAATCGATTTATGACTTTTGAACACCGGTATACTACTGGACAGGCAGCTTTTTTTGGAGTAAGCATTCATTGTTGTCTTAACGCTTACAGTCAGTTGTTTCATACGTCAAAGATCCTTGCGAACATGGGATTACTTATAATATAAAAAGAACTAAAAGACTTGCAAGGAATCTTCGAAAAAAAAAAATTGCAGGCCGATGGTTTTCTCTTTTAATTATTATTTATTCTATAATGACGGAGCACTTTTTATAGATTACAATGCAGTAAGGGTTATGATCATTGATATTGTTTGTACAGTGCCATATATAGATGTTTACATCCTCGTCCTTTGGTCTCTGGTGCATAGTTATATTATTGGCAATCGTATCACAATTAAAAACCTTACTTGAAAGCAATAGTTGTAGCATATGTTAAAATGTAGGTACATCTCTTATTTAGCATGCCATGTTTTTATTACGATTGAAATTTAAACTAGCTTCAGAATTCTCAATGCTAGTTGCATCCTCACGTAACAAGAGTATCAATATTTGATACTCATTTTAGTGCGCATGCTACGTGATACTTGAATAACTGTGAAGACTTAAAGTGTGGGCAGTTAGATAGTTAAAACATTAAATAAAGTCGTATTCTTAAGGCTATCAACAAGACAGTCATTATTGTATTAGGTCATCAGACTCTCGTGATGAAGTTGCGACCTTTTTAGTGTTGGTATTGTTGTACAAACTACATAGGAAGCACCCGTTTTGATTTTATAGAAGCGGACAAGAAATAACATATGTAAGAAACCGTCTACTCCGCTTAATTCAATTGAAACTAGAAGAAAATTGCTGTACAGATATGTTCCTATTGTAGCGAGTGAGCTAGGTCTTTTCGCAAAATATAAACTAAGCAAGACTTTCAATAATTTGAGGTGTAATTATAATCTTTGCTAAGTCTCGGGATGTTCGAATTACTAAGGATTTTCTACCCCAGGTATAAATTACCTTAGATGTATTTAGCTAAGCATTTCGGAATTTTAGGTCCTCAATGTTTTTCAACTTCGTTTTTTAATTGGCCTTTTCCGTTTTTGATTTGAGCGTCACTAATGAGTATTTTGTAAACGAAACGTGCGTCTGATGTAAAAAAAATAACAAGTTTGGTAAATTTTATGAGTTTTTTTGTAAGCAAAGAGTGATAATAAATTTTAAAGAAACACACAAATTAAGTATATCTACTATACAAGCGAATATCACCAGCCCATTATTCAGCCTTCGTGTGCTGACGTTGAATATCATTAATGGTGTCATTTCCTGTAAATTTTATGTTCATAAGATGTTGAAATCATTCGGAATACTTTAAGATTTGTAAACCCTCTGGCATAGATATTCTTGGCAAGATTTGGCATAACTTTGTGAAATTTTGATTTCCAATGATCTTACATTTCGTAATAGATTAGATTTTCTAACTGTTTTGATTGACTACCACTGGTGAACCGTATTTAAACGGAAAGTGCGTCTGGCGTACTGATTATAAGCCTTGTATCCTTGATGATATAATATTTTACTTTTTGAAGTTCTTTCAATTTACTTTTTTCAATTGAATATTTTAATCGGGTTTTTTCTGCTTTTCCGGCGACCTCGATGATGACGACGTCGTCAACAATTGTTAAGTTTTTTCTGTTACGTTTGTTTCATAAGAACTACTTGTGATAGACCAAGGATAGTTTGTATGAAAAAAATTGAAAACAACACGTTTAATAATTTCATGCGTCCGAAGCGCTTTTCTGGATTTACCTTCATCAGGAACGCTCAATGCCAAACATTTGAAATCCGAGGGATGTATAAGTACCGAAACAGTTGAAGAGCTATATGACAAAAATACCTAAAACAAATAGCCAAATCCATCTAAAGTCAACTTTGCCTGAGGGAGTTTCTTTATAATTTCAAAATTTATGAAGTTTATGAAGTTGCATTACTGTCACTATATATCAGTTTGACGACTATTTTGAGGCCCTACCTCCTAGGCCATGGTCCAGTGACTTTGAATAAATTAGCAATTTTGAATGTAAACTTTTCTGCTTAAGTTAGTTTGATAGGAACTACTTGTGACAGATCAATGATATTTTGTATGAAGTTGCATTGCTATCAGTACATATCAGTTTGACGACTATTTTAAGGCCCTGACCCCTAGGCCATGGTTCAGCGACTTTCAATTGTTATGCAATTTTCAATTGTAAGTTTTCTTCTTAAGTTTGTTTGATAGGAACTACTTGTAATAGATCAATGATATTTTGTATAAAGTTGCATTACTATCAGTACATATCAGTTTGATTTTCCAATTGTTTTGAGTTGACTTAAACTGGTGAACCTTATATAAACTAAAAGTGCGTCTAGCGGTCTGATCATAAGCCTGGTATCCTTGATGATGTTTTTTTTTTAAAATTTTTCAATCAACTTTGAAAAATCCTAATCGGAGTTTTTGTTATTAATAAAACGCATGTTGGATATATCAGATTCATGAAAGAAATTAGCCAGTTCGTTTCAGATAGCTGACCTGTTGCGTAAAGACAAATAACTCAAATGAGATAATTTGCATCATTTTTATTTAAACTAAAAGTTCGAAGAAACCATAACAATGAGATCTTTATTGTTGCGTGCATATATACAGCTGTTAATTGTTTTTTTTTCTGATAGCTTTGTTTTCATAGGTAAATTTACAAGACTTAATTAACTAGTGTGGCCACAAGGGGGGATTATTTCATATAAATGTTATAACCATTATAATGTTTGCATTTGAAACAATGTATTGTGACAACTAATGTGCATATTGACAAATCAAGTAGATTTGTTGTCATTCAAAAGTGAGACACATTTGAGTAAGTGTGATAAAGTAGACATCGAGAATGGTACACTGTATTTTCAGGCTTTTTTTACTATTTGTTCATCATTATGGCAAAGTATAAAAGAATACAAAAGGCTTGTTTAAAGACCAATTTTTTCTATTTTTCTTAATAATCATCCGTTGACAATGGGTAGACTAACTGAAGTAGTTAGGGAATTAGGTAATAGGCGTCATAATTTTTTTCAAAAATTGTAAGGATCTGCTAACGTTTCTAAAGTAAATGAACTAACATAGAAATTTCCTGTACTACTTTTTCTAGTTTTTGTAATGGACACGGAAAATATTTCCCTGAGAAAAGGTTTCACATAAACATGCAAAACATAGATTTGTTTTATGTATTAATCAATGAATTAAGCTATGTGAATACATTCTGTAGTCATTATTCAAAACAAACTAATAACATTGATATTCTTTTTTCAAGGTCCTTGTGAATAGCTATTGATTACAAACAATCTACTGATATGAGTAAAACTTTGAAACTCTTAGTAAAAAAACCATGAAACAATAACAATCAAGGATTGGTTAACTCCTATATACCCTTTTCTCAATTAACAATTCATCCTATAACACCTTGGATTTTCTTCCACATGAAATCAACAATCTCATAGTCGTTTGTTTGATTGGCTACATCTTCCTTTACAGTTGCAAAAGCATCAGCAATTATCGTTAAGAAAATACTCATTAATCCCACATAAACTATAAAAATAAATAAAAAGAAAAATATAGGACCCAAAATCTTTTGTGATGCTTCCATTGCGGCGAAATCAAAACTTCCTAACGTGAATGCAAACATTGATTCTGCTGCGCTGATAAAACCAGCAAAGGCATATAATGTAGAACCAAAGAGAAGGAAGCCAAATATTGTGAACGCTAAGAAGTACATGATGAATGCAAAAGAAAATACTTTTAGATCTTTTGATGCCAAATTGACTGTATCTCCCAACATATTCATTTTCTTGTTAAACTGTAGAAGTTTAAGGAACTGTATGGTTGCAAGGAACACCACTATTCCCACCATATAACTGTAAAGTTCATCATACGCGGCGAGAGACTGGAAATTCACGTTGTCAGCTGTATAAAAAATAAGCAATATTAGGTACATTGTTTTTTATTTACAATGAGAAAATGTACCTTTTCTACAAGAGAAACCTTCACAAGTAACCAGATGTTATGATTTATTTTTTAACAAAAAACAATCGTCGACAACTGACGAGACCACAAGAAAAGTTTTGAAACGAGTTTTCGATAAAGTGCGCATGGGTTATTGTATCATTATATGATATTTATAATTTGACAACTAGGACTGTCTGCGTGTGTAAATTTCTTTTAAGAAAATATATTATGTTAGTATGCAAAATAAGTTCATCTTTCACATGGTTAAACGTGAGCACTTAAGTCGAGCGATTTTAACATTGAACAAATTATCAAGTTATAATATTGAACTTTAAGCAAGACTGTTAAGCACCTATTTTTAACAGAGAATGAAATAACAAATAAAAGTCCGATTTACTTCGTTCACAGAAAAAACAGTTCCAACAGTTATCAGAAAGAACGACTGAAAATTATACTAAATACGTTTTACAGTCACCATCATGCATTGGTTGACCGATACGATGCGTTTAAAATAGTTTGATATGTTAAAAGTTGAATGTTTATTGTTTACCGTTATACATACCTCGCTCTCTGTCTTTCAAAGCGTTCATTGCAACAGACGTCAAAATGTGCTTTAAAGCATACATCGCTATCACAGTAACACAAAACAGCATTAAAGCAAACTCTAATTTGTTCCAGAACGAATTGAAATATTTCTTTCTCTCCTTCTTTAGTTTCTTAACGAAGTGAACGAAGAAGTACAGAGTAAAACAGGCATATAAAACCTCAAATAGAATAACCACAACTCCCATTCCTCCGATGTAGCTAAGAAGTCTGAAAATCTATCAAAAAACAAAATTTTTTGTTCATTTTCATTGAGATGATATGATCATAATTAGAAATTAACTGTTTACAAAACTTTGAATTGTTCGACATACTAAGGATTTTCTGGTAAATTATCATTGCTGTATTTTGCAAAACCTTTCGGAATTTTGGGTCATCAACGCACTTCCAATTTGTACCGTAATTGAATTTTTCACTTTTTTATTCGAGCGTAACAAATGAGTGTTTTGTATACGAAACGCACGTTTGGGGTACAAAATTATAGGTCTAGTATCTTTGATTATCACTGGTAACATGAGATGCCATCTGATCATGTAAAAAATAGGTAAACTCAAAAAGAAATTGTAACATTTACCTGCATAAATATTCCGTGAAAATATCTTCTATGAATAAACAAAAAGAGAAGTACATGTGGATTTCAATTAATAGTCCGTAACATAGTTTTTCTTACTCTTAAAACGTAACTGTCTCCGGACATTTATTGTGGTAGAACTATAAATTTTCCTGATAAATTTTACCTTAAATTCCATTCTGGTTACTGCACCACCTGACTGCATAAATTCTACTAACATTATCATCGAACCAAATAAATTAAGATTAGGATTATACACTGTAAATTCTAGGAAAACTCCTCTTGTATACACGTCTAACCAAACATGTTTCCGTAAATGTGCAATAAGTTCGTTATTTCTTTCAACATTTCTTTCAAACATTGCAACATATCCACCACCTTTATACGTTGAAATTTCTCCAACATACGGCGCATTTGCTAACTCAAAAGAACTTCTGTAAACCCATGGTGTTTTCGACTCCTCTACTGCTGAGAGGTTACTTATATCAGGTTTCACCCAACCAGGAAGATAATCTTTGGCGTCATCATCAGTCCATCCGTACTCGTTTCTACAGTGGTGAATAAGACTATCTAAACGACGATTTACCGAACAAGTATCTGCAATAATACATTGAGTTAACAATGGAAATACACTTATTCCTGTAAACGTTTACAAATAAATACAACTATACGATATTTACCTCCAATTTCGAACAAGATGACATCCAGGTAAAAAAATAGAAAGTTCATGAATTCTATATTGAGCAAGACAAAGCGGACCAACAAGGGTAGTTTTAAATTCTTAAGCAAGACAATCACATCTTTTTTATTAAATGTGCTGCACTGACAAACATATTATCTTCCAATACCTACAAATTTCCATAATGCTTTATTGTAAATATTCCCGTACGTTTTACGAATTGATTGATTTGTAACAGCGTCTGAGTTTATATATGAGTCATATATTCCACATGTCTAGTATTGACAATCAATTGGACAATATTTTTGGTTTAATGAAAAAGCACTCCGGGGAAAATAATTTATATTTACAATCATACTTTTAACCATCATCTTCCATTGTTCCAATGACTTTTTAACATACTAAGTCAACTGTTTGTTTCATATATGTGCATATGAATGTAATCAGTATCGTCCATAGATTTGATTTCCAATAGTTAAAAAAAATTAAAATGTTGAAATGTAATTATGTTTTGTGTATCCGCAGCAACATTCTGCTTTAAATTTGCTCTAACATATTGGAGATGGGGGCACACAATGTCACATTTACCTATCAAAATATCAAAAAGAAATAAGTGCCTCCGCCTATTTTTTTTGTACAATTGCATCACAATATTCGTGCGAATAAAAAGTGGAAATACACATTGCAATAATTTCAAGACGAATGTCTGATATAGATTTGAAAATATGGAGAGTCAAACAAAAATAGTACAGAAAACATATAAAACAATCTTGATGTTCATATAAATCAATTTTGAAGGCTTTACTATTCTTCATTTATCTGAAAATTAATTTTATTGACCAAAAGTTTTCATCAAGTTTACCGGGTACAAAATGTGAAAAATCATGCCTATTTGTTAGATGATACCTTCACATCTTTCTATGGCATCATGTCCCACCAGGGACAAAGTGGATAGTATGTAGGAATGTAGGTCGGTATAGGTGGGTAGGTTCACTCGTTCCTTACTTTTGACTTTTTACTGAATACGACTACGGAAAAGACGTGACGGAAGAGTTATTCACCACAAGAGTTGATTACAATATTTGGCATTTGGTTACAGTATATAGATGCGAGGCAAGCACGAATACTAAATCAGTGGCAGACCTTAGATTTCAAAAAGAGAGAGAGAACATGACCCTTAGTAAAAATGCATATCATCCCTAATTTGCCTATCAAATAAAACTTCTATCTTGAATTCCATAATTTTTGAAATCTTAGTAAATAAAGTGAAGGGCTACTGAAATTATACAATAATTGCATCCAGTACTATATGTCCGACGTGAATTACTGCATTCAATTAAACAATTAATGTGGGAAGAAAAAATGTGATTTTCATTAAATCATAATACCGTTAAAGTACTTGACCAATATTTACCTGGCTTTATCCGAAGCTGTCTAAGTCGTGGGATACCAACTCTACGAGAAACCATATCTGCTGTACACCTCTTATCCCACCATCTTATTATTTCAGTACCATTGGCGTAATGCGAGGCATACATTGCTGGAATGAGCTTGGAATCCATCCATTTCCAATATCCTTCGGTTGTAGATATCTGTGATGAGTAATAATAAAAAGCAAAATATCAAGATTTTCCTATCGTATCAAACAGAAATTAAAATCAATTAATGCAAAACAACTTGTAAAAATTACAACAAACCTATCATCTGCCGGAAATACTAAGGACCAAAAAGCGAAACAATCATGCAACAAGTGATTCCATACCGGACTTCAAGGTAGATTAGTCTTGACGATAAAATGTAGGATAAGAACGTGAAAAAAAATCAACGTGTCTTCTATGGATTTATGTCGAATCTTTATCAGGTCCTTATAAGTATCGTACAAGAACATAACATTTAATGCCAATTAATGTTGCAATATCTAGCAAAATGGTAACAAATTGATGTAAAAAGTCTATATTGACTTATTGTAGTGTAGACTACCTAGAATTGGAGTGTAGTGTCAGGTGATAACTAACAGATGGCAGTGTGAAAGATAAATACACAAAGCCTCCCTGAAGGGATCAAGCTTAAAAAATAAAATGCTGTATTCAGATACATGTTTTTTTATGAAAATGATTAAAATTTCATGCTTAATTGTCTAAATATAGTTGACCTATTGCTTATAGTACTTGAAAAACAGACTAAAACACAAAAACTGAACAGAAAGAAATCGGCAAGATGTTATTATCTAAGTCGGGTGCAATATAAAATAACTGAATAATTACCGATGTAAATCCGTTATCGAAATAATTTCTAAGATTTGCAGCCATCTGGTAGGAAAATGAATCTCTCTGTTGGTAAGACAGGAAAAACAGAACGAGGACAAATAATAAATAGATGGCAATCTCTCTTAACAGTGTTTCCATCTTGATCTCCATCATTCGATTCTCTCTAGCTTTGTTTAACGATTCCATGTCTATTGGCTTACAGTCTTCATTCGCTAGTTTCCGTTTTGCCACAATTGCTGTAAAATAATTAACACTTTTCATTTAAATAATAAAATCAAGAGTTCAAAGTATTTTTAGAACTGAAAACAAGGTATGGCATTGATAAATTTGATATTGTTCAGTATAGATAGAGTTTGGTTAAAAACTATTTCGGTCAGTAAAATGAATAAATTAAATATAGTACCAATCATTAGGGGACATTTCAGGTAGAACAAAATAATGTAAAATATATTGGATTATATTTTCAACTATTTTCAATGTTATTTTTATAAGATGGAGACAAAAAAGGAAAATATCAATACCATCTAGTTCTTCGTGGTCTTTATGTAACATTTCTTCATCGTGCGCTGCGATAACATTGTTTATATCTTCTGAAGCACCGTCCTCTTCGTCAATGTCTGGTTTCTTCACTATACATGCTATGAAGGCAACTAAAACCATAACCTGCAATATAATAGTTATATAAAAGGTCACACGAAAACAATGTATTGAACGTGTGAGAATTTGTGTAGTCACATTGGTATGTTCAACTCTATTTCAGTATTGTCATAATCATCATCCTATTTCTTATCTTCTTTTTGTCTAAAAGAATGATACCATTGACATATCAAGTTGCAATTAAATTTGGTAGATGGATCATAATTTTGGCAAATTCATTTCTTAAAACAACAAACCAATAGTTTAACAAACACTTTTAAGTAGGACTCTTTTGCTAAATTGATCACCAATCTGATCTCAACTTGAAGTTTCATAACGTGCAACATTCCATATATCTAGTACAGTACCTTGATTGGTTGGACTACGATAACTGACTGAAAAAATGACATTACGAATGTAGTAAGCCATTCATTTGCCTTTTCTGGTCCCCATTCCATACTGTACAATATAGTGAAAAATCCTGGTACTATCATGCTCAACACAGTTACTGTAATCAAACCAAAACAATAGAATGATAGTTTATTCTGATTAATACATTCGATAAAAAAGTATTGACTATTCATGTAATCTAAAGTATGTTTGTGCTTCATGACATGTAAGATTTTTTTTCACAATTATAAATTAATATTTAAAAACAAGCTTTAGATTAAAGGTATAATACCTGGGAAAACATTTTTATGTGCTTTATTTGCTATTTACAAAGACAAACATAAGTACTTACTGAAAACAAACCCTTAGGCAACAAAGGAAAGCTATACTAGATTATTAAGTCGTATCAAATTTAATTTGCTCAAGGCATAATACCTTTAATGATTGGAGCACAATATCTGATTGAAAACATTACAGGTTGTTGTCAGCTTTTTCTGGTCTATATTCCATTTTGTTCCGGTGCACTTTCATTCATCCGGATTAAGGTGCTGTGTGTATTGCTCAAACTTCATATTTCATTGCAGTTTATGGCTGACTATGTTCGTTTTTTTTCGTTTTTATCATATTGTTTTTTAATGTGTTAAAATTGTGTTCTTGGTATCTTCTTATTTTTAAAGGATAAAACACCAGCACCGAACAAAAATCAACTTTGCTCTCAATTTTCATTTTGATAATATAAACTGTATTGCAATGTTTGAAATAAATAGGTACTTACATACATAAGCAATATAGATACACCAATGAGGAAATGTTCCTGGTTTCTTTTTCTTTTTGGCTTGTTTTTCCTCGGGCATTCCTACTATTTTTGGCATTGGTTTGTCTTCTTCTTCAGGGTCGATGTCCTGAGCACCGTATTTCGATCTTTGGTGAAAATTTGTTATATTTTCTATTGAATCTTTGAACTTTTGCCATTTACTCCTTTTTGGAGCATTACCCCAAATCTGCGAAGAATTAGTTACATTCTTCCACTTCCCGCGTTTTGGCATCTGTTGATTAATTTGCATTATGGCATTTTTCTTTGGTCGACAACGGCGGAAGAACGTGATTATAATTAAGTTAACAGGAAGAACTAACATGGTACTTGCAAAACTTACAAAAACCTGAAACATGATAAAATATAAACATGATAAATGTGAACAAATAACAACCCGTTCTACTTGAATTGTTATAAAAAAAAAATACACAGAATAAAAATCTTATAAAAATTTAAATGAAATTAACCTAACCCAGTAAATACTGTTTTGGAATGAGTAAGTGGGGTGTTTAGCTTTTACAGATAGTTATCATCATTTTTTCATTTATGTCATGGTCAGTTAAAGTTAATATATATTATTGAATATGTTGTGTTGACCTACTATAAAAAAACAAATAAACTCTTGTGTTTTAACTAAGGAGCATCCAAATGGGTGCTGGCACATTTTTCATTAAATATACAATAATTAACATAACATTTTTACGACAGTGCTTTCAAGATATTCCAATCTTATTATGAAAGGGGTTCATAAAGAAAATAATCATTTTAAATCTTGCCTGCTGTAGAGTAAAGGAAATTGGTCCAATTTGCATTGCATTTGTTTGAGTTGTGTTGTCTTCTGATTTGAACCACATGGCATTTGTTATCATGGTCATAAATAACAGAGACATACAGCAGGAAATACGATGAACGCGTGTGAAACTACTTCTTGTTGGTCGAGAAAAAATTGAAAACCATAGATGGTCACTAGTCAGTTTCTTTCTGATAGATGAGGAAAAGAGATGTTTGAATGCAGCTAAGTCCTCACGTCCAGCAACAGGTATTATCCTATCTACCATACCATCGTCTTCTTCTACAGCTAACCAACGACCACACAAAAAAAAGTATCTGCAAACACAATTGCTGACTTGGTCAATTGACTTTCATGGCGAAACAATGGTGAATAGCGGAATGCTTTTCCATTTCAAACATTTGCTGACATATCTTGTCTACTGTGGGTATAAATATATGTTAAAGGTTCTGAATGAAAGCATACGGTTATTTCTCGGAGTTGGTCTAAATGCGACAAAAATTGATTTTGCGTACATGACAATTGTTAAACTAACTCCTAAAGTTAATCGTAAAACAAATAGACCGGAAACCGGAAACAGTTAAAAATTGAAGAAAATAAAGAAAAATAATTCTCCTGTTAAAAGAGTTTTTAACACGCTAAATAAGTGTTTTGTATCCGAAGAAAATATGATTAAATGGATATGCTTGTATGTTAAGATAGAGTGAAATATCTCCGAGTTGAAGGAATGTGAGGTGTCTATGTTGGGATAATTTCCCGTGATTGTGTTAGTAACAAATTCAAAATTTTCCTACCGTTCCCCTGTTTGTATGTCTGAAACCTGAATTTGGTCCAGTTTCCAAGATCTCATCTTTCCTTTTCCACTATTGTCATGCCATATACGGAAATATGATAATGGACCTAAACAGCGTTCAACACTTAGAATGTAATTCAGTATACTCCCAGTTGGTAAAATCTGTGAATATGTGTCAAAGTTAATTGTTTGTTATGTTAAGTTTTATTTACATGTATCTACATACTTTTTAAACCATAATGTCGTATAATGAAAAAAGTTGTTATGATTCGTTATTTCTGAAAGGTTAACTTCGATCAAAAATATAAGAATGCTCAAATTATGTGAACGTCATTGTCAGATTTAAAAAAAGTGCTGTCTAAATTTAATCACATGAAGTTTATGAACATTCAATAGTACCTTTCTATGTCCATCATAAAGTCTTCTAGCTCCAGAGTCGTGAGTTTCTCCAGACATGACAAAACTAATCTTAGATGATGTACCAGCGTTCTTTTTCATTCCTGTTTGAACTGTTACCTGATAGTGATAACAGTCAGTTGGAAGGTTGTCCTCCAAAGGTGTCGCTCCCCACTGTAAAAATATCATTCATTCTTTACTGGTAACAGGATAAGATATATTGGCGTCTTATCTGTGGTAAACTGTAAAAACAGTTTCTTAAATTTGACTGATGTTTTCAGAATAAAAAAAATGACCAGAAACCATTACAAGACCATGAATGGAAATAAACATCAATTACTAACAAAAGAGTGTGGTGGAAATCATTGCTCCAGTTTGACTGGACCCTAAATTATAGGCTTAAAATTTGACCATTTTATGCAATTTTTAAATAATAATTGATCTTTTAAAAATACCGCGGTCCTCAGTTAATCCAAACTTGTAGAACTTAAAAAGAGTATATATATATATATATATATATATATATATATATAAAACTATGAACACTTTATTCACTATAAGATGTTTAATTTTGATATATTTAAAGAATAGGGGAATATGAACTTACTTTTAAAAGATCCTTTTTATCCATATGGTGTGCCCAAATAACACCAATAATATACAGACCAATTAGTGCAATAACTGTTGAGAATACGGCAGCGTTGCTGGTCAAATCAAATTTAGCCCAAACATTGCTGAAGTCAATTGTATTAGGTGGTACAGCAAAATCACCACCAAAAGATGTGAGATGAGTTGATAAACACTTCGTCTTCCAGATTGTTGTTTCATTAGAAACCTATAATAATTGAATATTTTCAAAAGTAAACTATTCCATTTTTGCAGTGTTCATTTATCAAAACGACTGATGGTAAATATAACCTGCTCAATACAAACTTACCTATAGGCAGAGTGTATTGCTAATGTTACGCATGTGCTACTAATTTGAGGTCTGAGAATTAGCTTTTCTTTAAATGGACACATTGTTACTCTTGTATGTTTTTTTTTTAATTTTAGTTCATTTATATGTTTCGGAGTTTGGTGTGACGTCCATTTTCTCTGAACTAGTACACATTTTTGTTTAGGGCCATCTGAAATCCGCCTCAGGGTGCATGATTTTCTCGCTGTGTTGAAGACCCATTGGTGGACTTGGGTTGTTTTCTGCTTTTTGGTCGGGTTGTTGTCTCTTTGACACATTCCCCGCTTCCATTCTAATTTTATTTATCAAACAAATGAAGGTTTAAAATCAAAGTTAAATGGAACTTTAAAAGAATTATGATTCAAACAGGTGAATATAATTTTTTTGTAGAAATACAGCATGTACAGTGCCATGGCATTCCGGATGACTAGACAAGATAACCATGAAATTGCTTTTCGTACATAGAATTAAGTTTTAATTATAAAAATTTAGTCATGCTCTACACATTTACCAATATGTTAGTATTGGGTATGGGAACCTTGCTTTTTAAAAGCACTGAAAATAGTATTGCTTTCCGTATAAAAATAAAGCTATAAAAAAAATCTTCAGAAAACACAGATTCAAAACTGTTTAAATTCTGGACGTTTTAGTTATTCTCTAAACACAGTTATATTGTTATATTCATATCAAAAATGGAGAGCAGAATTACAAATTTCTGAAAAAAAATAATTAAAATTTTTGAAAAGAAATAATAAACCTTACCAAAAGACCATCTCCTTTGTATGTTTGTTCTTCTTCACTCCAGAATTTACATCCGGATATCATCAACTGTGTAGAGTAGTTCAGACAAACTTTTGTCTCCTCAAAATTAACTGTTGTCTTTTCTAATTCAAATATAAGTAAAAGACGTTTTAATACTTTCGAAATAAAAATCACAATAGCAATGATATATACATAATGTTACAGTATAAATGTTTTATCTCAAAGTCAAGAATTAAATACAATCACAGATACTACGTACATTTAATTACTAGTACTTCGAACCCAATTTCCAGATATTACATTTAGTTATTTGAAACAGAATTTCACACACTACATGTATGTACGTGGAAATGATTTTTTCAGATTTTATTTCTTGACCGAATTTCTTTTCGGAATAATAAAAAAACAAATGCAAATAAAAAGTTTGGTCAGCCAAAAAGTGTTAAAACAGGTGCAGGCCCAAACCAACCTCGTAACCATCAAAAGTTACCTTTATTGAAAAAGATTGCACCTTTTATAGCAAAAAGTCAAATAACCAAAATATCGAACTCAAAGGAAAATTCATAACGGAAAGTCCCTTAACAAATGGCAAAATCAAAAGCTCAAACAAATCAAACGAATGGCAAACAACTATCGTATTCCTGACTTGGTATAGGCATTTCCTTATGCAGAAAAATGGTGGATTGGTTTCAACAAAATATAAACAAACAAGGCGGTAAGAAAGCTGCAGAAACAACATTATGATTCATGTAGCAGCTTTTTGATAGGAGAGAAGATCAACAAAAAACAAAGCATTTTGACTGCGCCTTTTAGATGTTATTGCAGATTATGTTCAATGCGTACTGAAATTTTTATCAAAAGTTTATATCACATTGGTGGAATGTTAAACCCTGAAAGTATCCCTTGCCCTAAAGCTTGTGCTTTGGTACTCGCAATTGAAATAAAAATTTGGTTTTATAATTTTTCAGTCTGCAACTAATGTAACTGCCTGAGTTGGCTTTTGAATTATTTCTTTTTTGTCATCCTCTATTTCTATGCTCTCAAATATCAACCTAACCAAACTTTTGGTCTCCACAATACATGACGAAGGTTATTCCAGAAAAGTGTCACACGCATTCAAATTTGTATTTTACATGGATATTCCGATAAATATATAATATAGAGGTCTTAAAATTCCAATATATATGAAATAACATTTATAGATCAACTTGAATAACACTTTGATTTAATATTGTTTTTGAAATAACATTAACGGTACCATTTATTCTACTCCAGATGCCCATTTTGACAATGAATGTCTCTTTAGTGATGCTCGAAGCAACAATATTTAAAAATTGAAAACTTATTGAAAAAATTAAGAGCTTATAAACCAAAAATGACAAAAGGTATAGACAAAGCTGGTCAAGGAATCAGAGCTTTGCACGAGGGAGATATATTCCTTTATCTCAAATAATTTCCAAAATTTTAAAACAGCAAATTTTCATACCACATTAATTATTCTATATTAATATAATGTATTGACATGTATCCATTAAAACACTATTAATCTGAATCAATGAGATTATTTTCAAATACACCTTTATCTAAATGATCTTGATAACAGCATAGTTGATGCAGAGGAGGAAATCAGCCGTTATCTCATATAATATGATTACAACAATAGGACAATGGATTTTTTCTGATTATAGGGCTTACTCCAGACAATTGTTTTAAAGCAATATGACATTAAATGTATATTTTCAGCCATAATACTAATATGGGCATTATTTTTTCTTGGTATCAATAAAAGTAACATACAAGACAGCAACCATGACAATCTTTTAGAGTTTAAAGAAAATCAAGCCTTACCATGTAACTTGATAGCAACTCTATATGTTCCATTCAGCTTAGTTAAATGTTGAGGTGGGAAGTAGGTATGCTGTAGGTATCTTCTCTTCTCAGGATACTTATCCGGGTCAATATGTTTAAAAGCATCCTTGTCATGGGGTATTATGGTAGTGTGGTCGTAGAAGGTTGCATTTGGATAGTCTTCATATTTCAAAAACACTTTAAACCGATCTCCTTCTCTATCAGGCCATATAGTAAAATGTATTGTTGAATCGTTGGTATCCACTTGAACTGGGTGATAGTTATATTCTGTTGGGTCTTCACCAGTTGTTTTCCGGGACAAACATAATATAAATTCCATTGGACAATCTATTTTATCTGGATTACCTGCAATTTGAAAAGGGATTAAGTATCATGTGAATGAAGAAAATGGTAATACTCGTAGCCAAAGTATACGCTAGTAAATTTTACAAATGTAAATGTATGTTGCAAAAGTAATGTTATGATTGTTTATTAATTTGGGGTTGTATATAATTAACAGTAACGCTTAGTAATACAGATAATTCATCACAATCTTAAAAGGTGGTAAATTTATTATTTGCAAAAAGGAACTATATTCAAGTCAACACTAACATATTATTAAATTTTAAACATGCTAATGATGTATCGACTTAAATAGAAATTCAAAAATGGAAACAGCATGTGATGATTTTAAAACTTATTTTCAAATATATAATTACCATCCATTTCTACTTCTATAGGTTTAGACGTGTTTTGTACCACAGCTTTCTGTCCAGTGCAGGGATTACTCAAATCTATAGAAACTACTCTGGTCTTCACATTGGAATCTGAGGTATTTCCAAATGTAAAAGGATTGTCTTTGTTTACAACAACCTTAAAAAATTATCATTTTCTGTTAACCTCTCTGAATAAAGTTAAATTATTAACCAAACCGCATTCGTATGGTCGCTCGTAATATTTTTGATTACGACTGTCTAATGAATGTTCATATATTTTTAAACGTCACACAATTACTGGTGAAGACAGGAATCTAAACACGTTGCAGTGTCAAGGTCAGATTTAATTTTTTCAGTATGGTATAATTATCAATGCTGGAAGGCATAACAGTGTTATTTCTACGTTTCCGCTTACTGAATCATTATTACGCCGGTTTTGTGACAGTGAAGGTGATTTCCAAGTTATAGGTATAGGTTTATTAGTATAATAGTTAGAATTATTAAGAATGATAATACTATTTTCAGTTCGACTTATCCATATCAAAATTATTTATTAACTGGTAAAATGCACATAAATCAAAAATATTTATCCTAAACTACATGTACAAATACAATTGTGTTTTACAAAGCGTACAATATCTGTAGGAATTACTTACAGTGGCACCCACAGCACAACCTCCTTCAGCTCCCATTTCACCGAACAAACTAGGGTCCATAGAAGCACCTCCAGAGTCAGTTCCCATTGCCTGCGCACCTGTCATAGAATAAGCACAATTAGAAGCAACTGAAATACGTCTACAACATTTGATAATTTTTTTCAATCTAAACCATCAACAATGAATGACTTATAGTCGTACATAAAATTTCTACTTCTAAATTTTAAATAAGTTTTTTTTGTGTAAACAATATTTTATTGTGAAAATAATAACATAGATATTGCAATAAGACAGTTTAACTGGGTTTTGGAAAACAAGTGAATTTTCATTTTTACAAATTCCTATCCTATGTAACTAAGTTTGTACATGTATGTCTAGTTGTCGTGAAGAAAATGTTTCTTTTAAACATACCTTCAGCATTAGGGTCTATATTCTGCATCTGTACAGCAACATTATCGGCCTCGATGGTCATACTCTGATCAACGTCCTCAACATCATCGTCGTCATCGTCGCCGCCAGGGTCGGTTCCGTTTGCAATAGCCTCTCTCCTTCTTCTCCTGCGTCGTGATGCTTCCATCTTTCCAAGCATTAAGTTAGAAACGTCCCCGATAGCATTCATACTAGCTGATGCCACGTCTTTATCCTGAATTAAAGAATAGCATTTTATTTTAATGAGACACACTACAGGTAGGAGTTTTGTTGTTTTTATTAGTATTTGTATCACATTATACATTTCTTCTTTTTTACTTTATTTTTATGAAGAACAACTTTCTTATGCAGTATTTGGTTACTTTTTTCAAAGTTTTGTTGAAGAGAAGCAAATCGGAAAATTGTGAGACAAACTGAATTTGATTAGAAATAGCAACAATGTAATTAAAAGTACTACCATTTCCGTTTACGATTAACGTTCAACGTAAGTTAACATTCACACAATTGAGCAGGTTAAAATAAATAACAATTGTGTAGAGAATGCGCAATTGTTATAACATTAAGTTATGGTATCAAACATTTGACAAAATTGAATTGTTAAAGTGAATACAAACTTATGATTTTAACCGATATCCGTGCGCTCAGTGGCCATGAACATTTAGGAATATCTTGTATTGAATGGAAAATTTTAAACAATTCATTTTTTCTACATTGGCTTTAATATTTAACCATTTTCTACACAAGAAAATGCCTGTATCTAGTCAGGAATGTGACAGTTGTTTTCCATTCCTTTGAGGTTTTTTTTTATTTTGCCATTTGATAAGTGACTTTCCGTTTGGAAATTTTCCAGTTCAGAATTTTTGTTATTTTACTTTTTATATGCAGGTTGTCCTATTCTAACATCGGACTCGGACTTCTTTTGAACTGAGTTTGACTGTGTGTTTGTTTATTCCTCATTGGCTAAAGGTGTAGGGGAGGATTGAGATCTCACAAACCAGGTTTTACCCACTACATTCTTGCGCATGTCCCAATTCAGGAACCTCGAGTCTTTGTTAGTACTGGTGGCTTTTTTTATCATGGTTCATTTGTATGTTTCGGAGTTTAGTGTGCGTCCATTTCGCTGAACTAGTATACATTTTTGTTTATGGGCCAGCTGGAGCCCGCCTCCGGGTGCGGATTTTCTCGATGCGTTCAAGACCCATTGGTGGCCTTTGGCTGTTTTCTGCTCTTTGGTCGGGTTTTTGTCTCTTTGACACATTCCCCATTTTCATTCTCTATTTTATTTGTAGTATATGACATGTGTATCTTTACCATACTTGTAACACTATGTTCAGTTGCGTATACATATCGCAATGCAAATTCCGTTTGTCACAGTGCAATTTAAGTTAAAAGTTTGAATTTGATATATTATGAACATACAAAGCTTTTAAAATGTAGATTTTTAAGCATATTTTTATCGATGCTTTATCGTTATATCTAATTTAAGAAGATATAATATATTAAATGGTACAGACATTAAATGGTGCAAACTCTTGCTACTTTTCATACAGTATATAACATTTTTAACATAAATTTACTGAATAACTTTTAAAAATGCTAGTACATTTAATCAATTAACTTTAGCATTTATGTAACTATAGGTATTATCAATCGTATGAGAGGCGTTTGTAACCTCTAAACACGAAGAGAAAAAAAGATGCAAGTCGGAAAAAATACCTAATTATTTGTAAGACCAAGTAGATTTACTTATATCAATATAAAAATAAGAAGATGTGGTATCCACCAAAGTTCAAATGAAGTGGATGTAAGCAATTATCTATATATCACTTCATTAATCATTCCTAAGAGACGTTATAAATAATTAAGTATTCTGTATTTCCATGACAACTTAAGAAGATAACTTGAACATGAAGAACTGAAGTAAGTGTACCGATGTTCAGCAGTAGTATCGCATAAGTCCAGGTATAGGTAATTTCCATGTTATATGTCGTAATCGCATGAATGTCAGTCGAGATGAGACGAGGTGCGTCGACAAGATATGTAATTTCTGCTTAGCAATGCAAGGAACAACAAAAAAACGCAAATGTGATTCATGAAGGAGATTGATGCGGACATGTGATTTAACACTAACATGGAGTTAAATTATGTAGTACTGTTAGTGTTACCAGGAAAATAATAGGATAAAAGGTTGATCAAAAACAAATACACAAATGTAAGGAAGATAATCGGACGTACAATGTCAAATAAAAATACAGTAAACCAATACATCCTAATTAAAAAATTCTCTAAAATCGAAAGATTTGTATTATAAAAAAACTTACAGCTTCGAGTTTCTCTCGAGCTAACCTCTGTATTTCCTTCATACAGTATTCATTAATGTATTCATCCACATCAAAAGGTTCCCATTCTATTGAATATTTAGCAAAAATCTTCTCATTATCCACTTCCAGAATAGACAATGGAAACCACATAATCTCTCCATACTTCCGAACAGCACCTCGGAATGCCTTAGGGAAATCATACAGACAGTCGTAAAAATATAGGAGTTCTTTTGAGGTTTTTAAGTCGTATCTTTTAAGGAAAGCATTATAACTATCAACTTCTTCTTCCTCTGGTTCTGTCGTTTCTTCGGTTGGAACTGATGTTTCGACTGTACAATGGTCAATCTATTATAAAAGTAAACAAAATATAAATTGTATTTACATGATAATGCATAGACACCATTATCTCACAAGCAAAGCACACTTGGCATTAGTTTTCTAAACAAACTAACCCTAATTCGAAGCCTTTAGGGATATAAGACATTTGTCTTTTTACTTTTGGATAAAGTATATATTTTTACTGATTTAATGGATATGGGAAATTTAATCATATTTACTGTATTAAATTTTAAAATTATGTGACTACAACCTACAAATAACTACAAAATTCATACTTATTCTAAGGCTATGGTTAATATTGATGTTTTCACTACTGCAACAATTAGGTGTGCAAAGAAGAACGTTAAAACGTGTTTTATGTAATTAAGAAAAATTTCAAATACCTTTTAGAATAAAACAAAACACATCAACTTTACCTTCACTGATAAGTCATTTTCAAGTTTAAGTTGTCTCTTTTTACGCTTTTCTGTCTTTTCTTTGTCTTCGGTTGATTCTTTAGGCAAAACGTTGCTTATACCTTTTAATCCCACTTATAAAACATCAGAACAGATGTCAGATTATTCATTTTTTTTTAAATACAATAAAGTTAAATGTATATAAACATATCATGTAATATGCTGTATAACTTGGTAACTAGGTTCTATTATATTTACTTTCATTCCAAGATTCCTCTATTTTCCAAGTATGTATAGACATTAATACTGTAATTTTGTACTATGTACAAGTGAACATTTCCTTATTGAATTTTGTAAAGGAACAAATTTAGCTTTCTCTTATTTTTTACGAATGTGTTCATTTGTAATATATCTCTATCTGAACACACAAGACGCTTTAAAATCGAATTTTCTGTTAGAGTTTTTTCTCCGTCACTATGCCGATAAAAATA